GCTGCTCCTCATCTAACACCTGGGCACCTCATTTGCCTCCTCTACTACTCCTACTATCTACTACTCCTACTAACGTTGCCAGCAACTCTACTACAACAGATTGTGACCTGGCCCTCTGTTTAAAAAGTTTGAGGACCCCTGCCCTAAACTCTGTCTCTCTCCACCTGCTTCTCTCTGCTGCTCCAAACACCTGCATAGCTGAAGCCTGAACAAAAATGTAACAGTATCCAAGAGTCCAGGCTCAGCCTGCTCCCTGGGTATAGACCGACCAATTAGCTTCACCCATTTTATTTTACAGTTGACACACTCACTGATTCCTTACACGCTCTAACACATGTAACTGTAAGCTGTTTGTGAATCCAATTTTTTTTCCAATGTAGTTGCATAGAATCTGTATGTCTGAATGCCCAATGTCATTCTTTGTGAAAAGCAGAAAAGTTATGTTTTCATTTTGCTTATTGCTTGTTGTTTTTATTGATGTGTTGTTGGGCTTGGCCTCATGTAAGCCGCTCCGAGTCCCTTGGGGAGATGGTGGCGGGATATAAATAAAGTATTATTATTATTATTATTATTATTATTATTATTATGTAAAAGTTCTGATATACCCTCTCACACTGGAAACTGCAATAAAACGAACCTGGTTTTAAAAGTATTCATGACAGACTACTGTGGCCAGGCCTGGCATTTCAAGGTATGGGTGCAATTGGTGCAATTGTTTTAATTGCGCAAAGGCGCTTCTGGATCACTGATCCTAGAACCTAGGGTTTTAGGATCAGCAATAAGTCCAGGATCACCCCAGACTGCAATTCTGTGTTCTCAGTGGGTGTGACCCGCCCAATACAGGTTAAAATGCCACACCCTGAGCTTCCTTCCGACTGACCAGGAGGACCTCTGTCTTGTCAGTGTTTGGTTTCAGCTTGTTTGACCCTCATCCAGTCCATTACTGATGACAGGCACTGGTTCAAGATCAAGATGGCCTCTTTGACATTAGGTGGAAAGGAGCAATAGAGTTGGGTGTCATCTGCATACACATGCCACGGCACTCCAGAACTCGGGATAATATCTCCCAGTGGTTTAATGTAAATGTTAAACAGTATGGGGGACAGGATTGAGCCCTGAGGGACCCCACAGGACACTGGCCAGGGAACCGAACAGGAGTCCCCCAGCCCCATCTTCTGGGTCCAACCCTCTAGAAAGGAACAGAGCCACTGCAAAACAGTGCCCCCAAGTCCCATGTCCAAGTTGGTTCATCGAGTGCTCTGCTATGACTGACTTCTCTGGCTGAAGTAGTCTGTGAAGCAGTGAAAGGCAGTGCAGACTACTTCAATAGAGAAATCAGCCATGGCAGAACACCCGATGAACCAACCTGGACACAGCATATTATTTGAGAACACAATAATGCTGGACCACTAACAACCACCATGTCAGACTACACAGAGAAGCCACTGAAATCCACAAGAAGCATGTAGACAAGTTCAACAGAAAGGAGGAAACCATGAGAATGAACAAAATCTGGATACTGGTATTTTAAAAACTCTAAAATTATAGCAGTAAATAAAGAACAACTGTTGAAAACAGGGGATTTACAGACAGGAAACAACCAGGGACAGTGAATGACTTCTCAACAAAGGATGCCTCCAGGCAGTTAGAAGTCACACCTTGAAAACTGCTAGGACATTAAATGTTAATCAAGCTGGCCAATTGAAACATTCGCACCTGCTTCCAACAGACAGGAGTTCTTTCTCCCACCCTGGACATTCCACAGATATAGAAACCCCATTTTCCTAGTTTCCAACAGACTCCACAACCGCTGAGGATGCCTGCCATGGATGTGGGTGAAACATCAGGAGAGAATGCTTCTGGAACACGGTCAGACAGTGTGAAAAACTTACAACAACCCATTCCTGTTTATTTAAAAAAAAATTAAAAAAATAAAATAAAAAGAGATTTGGAAAATTGGCAAAGACTTCAACTCACCTGGTTAGGGAGGATAGCAGTGATAAAAATGATAGTATTGCCCAAAATGCTGTTTTTGTTTCAAAACCTACCAATTATTAAGGGAGTAAAGGTGTTCGGAATATGGAAACGAGATCTGGTCAAATTCATTTGGAAAGGGAAAAAAGCGAGAATTGCCTACAGGAACCTTATTGATGGGAAAAACAGAGGGGGCCTGGCATTGCCAGATCTCAGGTACTACTATGAAGCCGCAAATTTCAGCTGGCTAAAGGAATGGATTAAAATGGACAATAAGGAGTTGCTTAAGTTAGAGGGCCATAATTTAAGATACGGATGGCACGCCTATTTATGGGATTATAAGGACAGGGTGAACAAAGAATTCAATGGGCATGTAATAAGAGCCAGCCTTTTAGCAACATGGAAAAGATATAAGAAGGGTATGGAGCCAAAAACCCCCCTATGGCTGTGCCCATTGGAAGCAGTCCAGAGACCGGCCACACATGCTGACTCCGGCACATACAAGGATTAAGGAGATTTGGAAAATTGGCAAAGAGAAAATTGGTCAAGGAGAAAGGACAATGGATACTTAAAAGCAGAGAAGAATCTGGGTTAAAAGTTTGGTTCAGTTTTTTCCAGCTACACGACAGATTTAGGAAGGATGCAAAAGTAGGATTTGCCTCTAATAAATCGGAGTTAGAAAGTATTTTCGAGAAGGGCAACAAAGGCCTAATATCCAGACTTTACAAATACATTTTAGAATATAATTTAGTAGACAACCAAATAAAATCCGTTATGATCACGTGGGCCCAAGATGTTGGCAGAAATATCGATCTGGAAGAGTGGGAATGTCTTTGGAATAAGGGCTTTAGATTCTCAGTAGCCAGCTCAATTAGAGAAATTATGTTTAATTTTTTTTACAGAACCTATATAACCCCAGAGGTACTAGCTAAAATAGAGAAAACAGGACAAGGGGCTTGCTGGAGATGCAAGAAGGTGAAGGGATCTTTTTTCCACGTATGGTGGACCTGTAACATAGTTAAAGAATTCTGGAAAAAAGTGATGAAAGAAACAAACAAAATGATCAGCAAAAAAATCAAGAAAAACCCAGAAATGTGCTTATTAGGAATATTTAGGAGGCGTATTAGCACAGGAGATGAAGAAATTTGTCAGTATTGTTTTGTTGCTGCGAGACTAATAATAGCTAAATTGTGGAAGGGGGAAAAAGAGTTAAATATTAAGGATTGGAGAGACAAATTAGTAGACTATATCCAAATGGCCAAACTGACAAATAGCAGCAGAGGTGGAAATAATGAAGAATTTGTTAAAAAATGGCGGTTGGCAATTGGATATCTTGAAAAGAAGACAAAAGTAGATTTGAAGATTGCCATAAAGGGGATTCAGTGAAAGAAGATACGTGGGTAGTTGCGGGTTAGTTATGTGATCCATACGGAGTGGTGTCGGAGGTCACAGGGGTTGGGTTCACGGGTGTGGGGTTAGAGGGACAATAAATGTTAATGTATTATAACTGTACAGTCAAAGTTGATTTTTTATATGTTTAATGAGCGCTGACTGTATACCATTCTGCTAACTGGCATACTCTTTTGTATTTCTTTTTTTCTTTTTTTCTGTTTTTTTCTTTCTTTTTTACTTTTTACTTATTTCGGTTTTCCTTTGGTGTCGGTTTTGTTTTCTGTATGCACCACAAACCAATAAAAAAAAAAAACCAACCCATTCCTGGAGTCCTTGTGGACAACAAGATAAACACGAGCCGAAAAATGTTATTCGGCAGGAAAAAAAGCCAATGGGATTTTGGCCTGAATCAATAGGAGTCGAGTGCCTAGATCCAGAGAAGTCATGCTGCCCCTCTCTTCTGCCTTGGTCAGACCACAAGTTGGAATGTCCAGAGGAGGGCGAATCAAAGGATCAAGGGTCTGGAGAACAAGCCCCATGAGGAGCGGCTGAAAGACTTAGGCATGTTTAGCCTGCAGAAGAGAAGGCGGAGAAGAGACATGATGAGGGCCAGGGATCAAGATGTGAGGGGAAGTCATGGGGAGAAGGGAGCTGGCTTCCTTTCTGCTGCCCTGGAAACAAGGACGCAATGGAACAATGGCTTCAAACTACAGGAAAGAAAGGAGATTCCACTTGAACATGAAGAACTTCCTAACTGTGACAGCTGTTCAGCAGTGGAACTCTCTACCTTGGAGTGTGGTGGAGGCTCCTTCTTTGGAGGCTTTAAAGCAGAGGCTGGATGGCCATCTGTCGAGGGTGCTTTGAATGTGATTTTCCTGCTTCTTGGCAGAATGGGGTTGGACTGGTCCACCAGGCCTCTTCCAACTCTTTCTTTTAACCAAAGGCTTCTTGAAATAATCTATATTACTCTTGAAATAATATGTATTAATATATTAATTATATTATAATAAATATTATAATTATATATTATAATATTTATAATATATATTATATATAATTATAAAGTATACTATATAATATAATATAATAATATTCTTATTCGATTAGGCATCCATTTCTATCCCATTAACACCGGACTCCATTCATCCGCACTGTCTTAAGAAAGCCATCCCTCTCAGCCAATCACAACACTGGGATTTTCCTTCAACCAATCAGGACCGGCTCATCCATTCAGAGATGACGGAGAGGGGCGAAATAAGGAATTATATTCAACCAATCAGGACGCGGCTTGCCACTCCTCTTCCCTCCCTCTTGGGCTTGATTGAAAGCCTCGCCTGTACGCATGCGCTTCACTTCTCCCTGTAGCCACGGCTTTATCCAATCAGAGACTCCCTCGCGGTGACGGGGCGGGGCGAGATGGGGAGAAAAAAAAAGTTGTTTACTTCAGAGAGAGAGAGAGAGAGAGAAGAAAGAGAGTAGAGGGCGGAGCAATATGTGGGCGTGGCTTTGGAATGATACGACGACACTGGTTGGTTTAAGCTTTGCGAGTGGGCGCAGAGGAACGGGCGGAGTGGGCGTGGCTAAGCGGGCGACACGTCACTGGTGGGCGTGGTGGCGTAGGTGATAAAAGGCCGCGCAACAGGAAGCGGCCCGCCATTTTGAACAGCCCAGGAGAGCAACAGGAGCAGAAGCGGCGCGGCAGGGAAGGGAGGGGGTTCGGCGACCAGGGGGCGGCCCGGATGGTGAAATCCTCCCTGCAGCGGATCCTCAACAGCCACTGCTTCGCCCGCGAGAAGGAAGGGAATAAAAAGACCCACCGAGACATCATGCCTGCCCGGCCCGCCAACGCTGCTCTTGGCCGGTGAGGAGCCGCCAGCCAGGCCTCAGGACGCTGGCTTTCCTTCGGGCCTCCAAGGGGCGGGGCCAGCGCCGACACGCCCCTCCCCAGGGCGCATGCGCGGACGTGCATCGCAGGAAAAAAAACGGGGGGGGGAAGAGTTGGGCCTTTTTGCTCGTTTAAAGGCCAGGTCTGGCTCCCTGAAATTATCTTTCAGGGCCCGGATCTAGCTTTTAAAGACCTGATCTGTCCCTCCAAAATGCACTTTTAGGGGCGAGATTAATCTCCCCAAAATGGGCTTTTAGAGGTCAGATTCAACCCCCTAACATGGTCTTTTTGGGCCCAGACCTAGCTTTTCAGGGCCAGATCTGTCTCCCCAAAATCGGCTTTCAGGGGGTAGATTTATCTCCCCAAAATGGTCTTTCTGGGCCCAGATCTATCCGTTTAAGACCTGATCTTTCCTCCAAAATGGGCTTTTAGAAGCCAAATTTATCTCCCCAAAATGATCTTTCTGAACTCGGATTTATTTCCTCCAAATGGGCTTTTAGGGGCTAGATTCAACCCCCTTATATAGTCTTTCTGGGCTCAGATTTATCTCCCTTAAATAGTCTTTTAGGGGTCTGATCTTTTAGTAGCCAGATATATCTCCCCCAAATGGGCTTTTTTAGGCCAGATTCAACCCCTTAAGATGGTCTTTTAGGGGCAGCCCTTCCTGGGTGAGATTTATTTTCTCCCCCCCCCCTCAAATTGGGCTTTTAGGGGCCAGATTCAACCCCCTAATATGCTTTTTTGGGCCCCATATCTATATTTTAAAGGCCAGATCTGTCCCCCAAAATGGGTTTTTAGGGGCCAGATTTAATCCCCTAATGTGGTTTTTCTGGGCTCAGATCAATCTTTTAAGATTTTTCTCCTCCAAGTCGTCATTTAGGGGCAAGATTCAACCCCCCAAAATGGTCTTTCTGGGCCTGGCTCTATCTTTTAAAGGCCAGATCAGTCCCCAGAAAATAGACTTTATGAGCTAAATTTATCTCCCCAAAATGGGCTTTTAGTTGCCCCTGATAAGGTTTTTTTTGGGGGGGGGGCATAGCTTTCTTTTAAGGGCCAGATTTATCTCCCCAAAAACAGTCTTTTAGGGGTCTGGTGTATCATTTAAAGGCCAGATATGTCTCCCCAAACGGGCTTTTAGTGGTCACATTGAATCCCTTAAAATAGTTTTTCTGAGCCCAGATCTATCTTTTCAGGGCTAGATTTTAAAAGGCCAGATCTGTTCCCTCAAAATGGTCTTTTAGAGACTATATTTATCTCCCCAAAATGGTCTTTCAAGGAGAGAAATCTCTCTTTTAGGGGCCAGATTTATCCGTCCTTAGAATTTAGTCTAAAATGGGCTTTTAGGGGCCAGATTCAGCCTCCTAATACAGCCTTTCTGGGTCCAGATCTATCTTTTAAGGGCCAGATTGAGCTCCCCAAAAGTGGTCATTTAGAGGCCAGATCTCTCCCCCCAAAATTGTATTTCTGAGCCTAGATCTATCTTTTAAGGGTTATATTTATCTCCCCCAAAATTGTCATTTAGAGTCCAGATCTGTCTCCACAAAATAGCATTTCTGTGCCCAGATCTCTCTTCCCAAAATGGTCGTTTACAGGCCAGATCCACCCCACAAAATAGTATTCCTGGGCTCAGGCCCGTCTCCCCAAAACAGTCCTTTTGGGCCCAGATCTATTTCCTCATAATTGTCTCTTCCTGCCACTCCCTACAACGATTGCATGACGCAGCTTCTCTCTCTTTATCTCTATTTACTTCCCCAAAATGTCCCCCATCAACAGTTTCCTCTCTCCTTCCCCAAAACGGTCTCACAAGGAGCCATTTTTCTCTCTTCCCTTTTGTAATAAACCTCCCTATCAAAGAGGAACCTTTTTAAAACAATCCTTAAAAATGAGACTGGCTTCTGGGCATTGAGATCACGGCCACATAAAAAGTGGAGAAGAGGCAACAGTGGAGGTGTATCTGCCCAGAGAAGTCCTTTAGGTATCCTTTCCTCCCTCATTAACACAAATAGTTTCCCCAGCCTTAAGAGGCAGATGAGGAACATTAGCTTTTTAAAGGGTTGTAGAGGAAACAAGGTCCTCAGTTGAATCCTATGGCGAGTCAGAACCTGTTCCATCCGAGAAAGCCAACATCTTTGTTTGAGCCGGCTTACGGCAGACGTGAAAACCACTTACTTCCAAGTCCTCTTATCGCGACCAGACGAAACCTGTATATAGCCAGCTTGCCGGTCCAAATAGGGGCCTCGATGCCATTGAAATCCCGAAAGCCCTTGATCAGTGGCCTGACAAATACCTGGTACATTTCAGAGAAAGGGGATGCCAAAGCCACCTCTGTATGCATATTCAAGTCACCTTGAACGTGCATACAGACACAGATGTGGAAAAAAACAACATCAATGTTCTACTTTAATGCGAGGGCCAATAGATCTGGATGTGGACGTCCTTTTAAAGCCATGATAGGAACAATACAGCCTCCAGAGTAATGAAAAGGTGTGTGTTTGTTGCAGGGAGGATATTGTTAGGGAGAGTAGCGGCAACAAGGTGTTGATAAAGAATGGAGCGTAAATATACCAGTTTGGCATTGGGGTAAAGCCAAATACACATGTATTTATGTGTGTCTTCAAGTCTGCCGTTCTGCCCCCAAACTCCCAACTCTGGCCCCACCGACCCTCCTTGCATGTTTACTCCTCGCTCAGACTTCCCTTTCTTCCTTCTCAGTTCCAGGATGGCCTTCAATTGCTGTAGTAACCTGGGTCCGGGGCCTCGGTGGTGCTCCTGATGCCCCTCACCCACCCCTGAAGATCCCAGGTGGGCGAGGGAATAGTCAGAGGGATCACAATCTTTCAGCTAATTTATTTTATTCTGTAAGTATGCGTGGTCTTTATGGTTGGGAATATTGTGGGCGCAGGGGGGAGTGTAACCTCATACGATTTCGGATAGCGTGCTTTGCAGGGGATCGGTTGCTCAGGAAAATTGGCCATGGCCTTTTCTAAGCCCCATTGGTCGGAAATAGCTCCAAATCGCCTTTTGCTCTCCTTCTCCCTCCCACAGGATAATCGGCTGAATGTCACAGAGGAAATCCCATCCAATAACAGGACACGGATCCTGCATATCCAGTCCAGGCTGACGGAGGCCAAGCACATCAGTTGGAGGACTGTGCTGAATAGTAACAACTTGTACATCGAGATCCCCAACGGCGCTCTGCCAGAAGGGAGCAAAGATAGGTAAGATTGGGCTGCTTTTCATCAATCTTCCTTTGCTTTCTAAATTTTCCAACAGTGGTAATTTTCGTGTGACATAGAAATGGAAGGGAGGTGTACCTTTAGCATTGCACTTGGCTTGTTCACTTCCTTCTCTCCCCAAAACCACAGCCCTTTGTACGTCTCACTCCCTTTTGTTCAGTTTCGCAGTTCTTCTCGAATTTGCCGAAGAACAGCTCCAAGTCGACCATGTGTTCATATGCTTCCACAAGAACCGAGACGACAGAGGTGAGTAAACAATAGTTGTGCTGAGCCCATTTTGGTTGGATTTTGATCCATATTGTCAAAGGGTGTTGTTGTTTTGTGGGTCTGTGGTGGTGGTGGTGGTGTTTTGTGGGTCTGGGCCAGCCCTTAACCCTCTCCTGCTCCCCCCTCCAGCCTCGTTGCTCCGTACTTTCAGCTTCTTGGGCTTTGAGATTGTGAGACCGGGGCATCCCCTTGTCCCCAAGCGACCCGACGCTTGCTTTATGGCCTACAGCTTCGAACGCGAGTCTTCGGAAGAAGATTAGACATTATTTTGTTTTGCAGTGTTTTCCTTTTTTTGCCTCGTAGAGCTTTTCCTTGGATCTTTTTTGTCAGGAGATGAAATTGGTAGGAATTCTGTCAACATCTTTATACATGCACATATATATGTGTGTACGCATAAATGACTTCTTTGTATGAAATATTGTGTTAAGGTTGCTGGTGGTGGTGGTGGGGATGTTTGGGGCAGATGTTGAAAAATTTCCAGCTTTTGTCATCTTTCCCTCTCTTTCCTCCTTTCTTCTTTCCCTCGCCCGCATTTTTGTCCGCATGTTGTGACCGTTCCAAAATAAATGCTCACTCTCAAAATTTAGCGGCATATTTCTTGGAAGTTTAATATTGTGTGTTTGTGATACAGAAGTATTTGCTTTAATTCTAAATAAAAAGTTTATATTTTACTTCGTTGCTGGTTTCGACATGTTTCAAAAGACATTCTAGTGCAGTGGTTCCCAACCTATGGTCCCTGGACCACCAGTGGTCCTCAAGAACGAAAATATGGTCTCTGGCCTCACCATTACTACACCGTTGCCTCGAAACCATGCGACAATGAGACAGACTGGTCTTGCAAAACCCTCTTATAGTGCTGAGGCAACAGGGATGTTGGGAGGGAAGAGGCTGATTATCCCCAAAAGATTACTACTACCACATCAGCTCTAATCTATATATATAAAAATACATCTGTGCGTAATGAGTACCTTAAAAACAAAAAAACTACTGAGCCAAATGACCCCAAATTTGGCAACAAAACTCCTCGCAATCCAAGGAGTGACCATCACTGAAAAAAAGCCACAAAATACCTTTAAATTCAAAATATTACTATATCAAATAGACTCAAAGAATAGAGTTAGAAGGGACTCTACCATAGTATTGTGGGAGAACAGACAGGAAGGAAGGAGAGAAGAAAGGAGGAAGAGAAAAAGGGAAGGAATGTAGGAGGGAAAGGGGGAAGGAAGAAAAGAGAGAAGGAGGGAGAGAAAGAAGGAAAGGGAAGGAGCGGGGAGAAGGAAGGAAAGAAAGAGGTACTGAAGGAAGGAAGAAGAGAAAGTAGAAATGAAAAAAAAGGAGGAAAGGCAGCAAAGAGGTAAAAGAAGGAAGGAGAAAAGAAAATAAAAAGTGAAAAAAGGAAGGAAACAGGGAGGGAAGAAAGGAGACAAAGGAAGAAGTAGAGGAAGGTGGGGGGAGGAAGGAAAGAAAGAGAGAAGGATGGATGAAACCAAAGAGCAAAAGAAGGAATGAAAAAAAGAGGTAGAGAAGGAGAGAAAGGGGAAGAAAAAGGGGGGAAAGAATAGGTACGTACCGCTCTTTCATAATAGTCCAGATATCTACCTCTACTTCGAAAATTCTTACTATAGGCCACAGCAACGCATGGCAGGGCACAGCTAGTGATTAAATATGATTTTCTGTGGACACCATCATTTTCTGATGGTGACTACTGGATGGCGTCTGTTCTGTATCAGAAACCAGAGCTGATGTGGTCTATCCAATGCAATTTTCTGAATCGGCATCCCAAATAACCAAACTGAATCTAAAGTTAACCAAAAACTGATTCGTAACCCTTTTGCTACTAATGTTGGAGAGAGGGCCCTGGTCAAAGTGGTCCCTGGTCAAAAAAAAAAGGTTGGGAACCACTGTTCTAGTAGAAGGTTACACTTTTGCTTGAACCTTTTCAGGTTTTTTGTGTTATAACCCCAAATACATTGAAGGTAATAGGGTAACCCTGTTGCTTTGGGAGCATGGTTGGAAAGCCATTAAGGTAGGCCTTTGGGACACCATCTTCCATCCATCTATCTATCCACCCACCTAATAAAAGTAAAAAAAATGTATGCATGTTAGTGGGGTGTCCACTTACACAGACATGCTCCTGCCTCCACAAACAGTGATAGCTTTCACTACTCAGGAGACACCAGTGGTCCTCCCTCCAATGACATTGCAAGTTATAGTGAGCGTCGTAAACATGTACAAGGGCCCTGCCAGTGTCTGCCACAAACACCATACTGCCCACCACCCAAGTGAAGGCAATTTCATCCTAGATTTTATGTGTTTCCTCCACCAGGGACATCCCGGTGTTTCTGACTCTCCATTGGTGTGGAATTTGCATAACCCCACCCTCTGCCTCTCCCTTAACACTTACCTATTTTTATCTATGGCACCCAGCAAATGGGAATTGATCAGCAACTGAACATATTAGAGAGGTCTGGGGAGAATTCACCATGATTTATAGGAGTTGTAGGTATTGGGATGTATAATTCACCTGCAATCTAAGGAGCACTCTGAACTCCGCCAACCTGGAACCAACTTGGCACTCAGAACCCCCATGACCAACAAAACATACTGGAGGTTTTTTGGGGGGATGTATAGGAATTGTAGTTCACCTACATTTAGAGTGCACTGTGAACCCAAACAACGATATATCTGGACCAAATTTGGCATGCATACCCAATATACCGTATTTTCTGGCGTATAAGACTACTTTTTAACCCAAGAAAATCTTCTCAAAAGTCAGGGGTTGTCTTATACACCAGGAGTAGACTTGTATGCTGGGAGTAGTCTTATACGCTAGGGATAGTCTCATATGCTGGGAGTTATACGCCAGGAGTAGTCTTATAGAGCGGGTGCTGAAGCTTCCAGTCCGGATTGGAGAATCTGGTTGCCGCATATGGTGGAGAGAGCTCAAAAATGGCAGCGGACGCGTCCCTGCTGTATACGACTGTATGAAAGCATTAAGGGCGACATTGTACAAATATGGTAGAAGACAATCCATCAGGATTCGTGGATTTGATGCGGTCCCGATGGTAATGTGAAGGGGTGCCCAGGGAAAAGTGTAAGTGAAGGGTGGAGCAAGCTGCAGGCGGCCGGGGTATGGAAAAAAGAGATGGAATGGCTCTGGGCCCAGAAAAGCACACCTCTTACCTGTCTGGCCCGCCCTTGTATCCTATTACCATACCTCCTCCTCTGCCTCTCAGATCTCACTCCTGAAGACTGCAGTGAAGGTGCGCATGTGTGAGATCTGAGAGGCAGAGGAGGAGGTATGGTAATAGGAAAATTACCATATTGAAATCAAATCTGATGTTTTTAAATTTTTATTTGGTGTGTGTTGGAAGAGGAATAGTATATCCCAAACTATATTTTAACTGGAAAAGTTGGGGGTCTTATACGGCCAGTCGTCTTATATGCCGGAATATACAGGAACCCAAATTTGAATACTGGTGGCTTTTGAGGGGAATTGGCCTGGACATTTTGGAGTTGTGGGTGCTGGGATTTATAGTTCATCTGCAGTCAGTGAGCACTCTGAACTCCACCAAAGATGGAATTGGACAAAAGTTGGCACACAGAGCCCCCATGACCAGTAAAAATTACTGGAGGTCTATGGGAAAAGGCACCTTGATTTGGGGGAGTTGTAGTTCACTTACATCCAAAGAGCACTGTGAACCCAAACACCGATGGATCTGGACCAAACTACACACATATCTGATATTCCGAAAATTGATTACTGGAGGGGTTTTGGGAGTTGTAGCTCACCCACAACCAGAGAAACTGTGACCTCCACCAATGATGGACCTGGACGAAACTTGGCACACAAAACCCCTATGACTAACTCAACCTACTGAGGAGTTTGAAGAGACTGACTCACCATAGTGAGAGTTGTAGTTTACCCTACAGCCAGAGAGCACACTGAACCCCATCGATGATGCATCTAGAGCAAGTGTGCCCAACATAACAAAATTTAAGTACTGATGGAGTTTTTCGGGGTTAACCTGACATGGGAGTTGTAGTTCACCCACAACCTTATGCATTTTGTACAATTAAAAATTGACTTTTTCAAATAACCTGGGCAACAAAGGGGACCCAAGGTAGAATCATAGAGTTGGAAGAGACGTCATGGGCCATCCAGGCCAACCCCCTGCCATCTAGCCTCTGTTTAAAAGCCTCCAAAGAAGGAGCCTTCACACTCCAGGGCAGAGAGCTCCATTGCCGAATAGCTCTTACAGTCAGGAAGTTCTTCCTCATGTTCAGATGGAATCTCCTTTCTTGTAGTTTGAAGCCATTGTTCCACATCCTGGTCTCCAGGGCAGCATAGAACAAGCTTGCTCCCTCCTCCCTATGAGTTCCTCTCACATTTATACATGGCTATCATGTCTCATCTCAGCTTTCTCTTCTTCAGGCTAAACATGCCTAGTTCTTTAAGCTGCTCCTCATAGGGCTTCTTCTCCAGACACTTGATCATTTTAGTTGCCCTCATCTGGACACATTCCAGCTTAACTTCTCTCTTCAATTGTGGTGCCCAGAACTGGACACAGTATTCCAGGTGTGGTCTAACCAAGGCAGAATAGAAGGGTAGCATGACTTTCCTGGATCTAAACACTATAATCCTATTGATGCAGGCCAAAATCCCATTGGCTTTTTTTGCCGCCGCATCATATTGTTCACTCATGTTTAACTTATTGTCCACGAGGACTCCAAGATCTTTTTCACACGTACTGCTCTCGAGCCACGCGTCCCCCATTCTGTATCTTTGCTTTTCATTTGTTCTTGCATTTGTCACTGTTGAAGTAGTAGTGATGATGATGATAGTAATAATAATAATAATAATAATAATAATAATAATAATAATAATAATTTTATTTCTTATCTACCTCTCATGGCTTGAGGTGGGTAACAGCACAGTCCAAAACACACAAATACTATAAAAATTCTACAAACATACTAAAATTCGGTTCCCTAAAAGCATTTCTATAAAATGCACATTCATCACACAGGACAGAGACCAAAACACAGGACATTTAAAAAAGACTCAAAGCAGCTTACAGTAAAATTGGTGCAATATCTTGTCTGTTGACGGGTGTTAACGTCTGAAAGATGTACTTAATCGCATTCCCAAACAGCATATTTAATTTATTCCTCCCCGTGAAGCACTGCGACGGACATACAAAGCACATTAATGCCTTTATTCCTACACCAAGAACCCTCCCCACATTCCTACCTGCTCCCCTTTTTGAAAGTTAGCACCAGAGCATCCCAAAACAGTAAGATGTCCTCGTTCGGTTTGTCTTTTCACGTTGTCAAACAAGGATGAAAAACCAACCTGCCTTTTACAGAGTCAGTGTTTTCGGCAATGTCCTTTGTCCGCCTTGGGGCCGAACAGGCTCCTTCTTCTTTCCTTTGTGCATTCGAGCCGACAACTGGGTCCTTTTTTCCCTTCTGTTTCGGGGGAAATTTCCTCAGAGTTTCTGTACATAATTTCCGGGGAAAAGGCCTTCGCGCCCGTGGAGGCGGCCCTTCCACCATCCAGAGGCATCTGCGGAAAATCAAATTGCTCTTAAGCATTTCTAGAGCCTCCTTATTGTTCCATTGCTATTGTACGATGCACGGCTACACCATAAGGAGGCTCATTAAAAGCATTACTGTGAACAACGTTTGGAGGCAAAACATAGGCCACGAGTTTGGCAGCAGTCAGGTATGGGTTGTGTTATCTCTAAAGTGCTGCTTTGAGACTCTTTTTTAGAGCGAATAAGTGGGATATTAATAATAAAAATATTTTATATTTATATATATAATTATAATATATAAAATATAATAATAATATATAATAATTATAATAAATAAATAAATACACACATATACACATAATAAAAGTGAAAAATGGATGTGTGCATGTGGCTGGGGTGTCCACTTATACAGGCTCCTGCCTCCACAAACAGCTATAGCTCCCACTACTCAGGGGACATCAATGGCCCTCCCTCCAGTGACATTGCAGGTTATATTGAGTGCCGTAAACATGTACAAAAGCCTTGCCAATGTCCTCCATCAACACCATATTGCCCATTACCCCCAAGTGAAGGCTTATGCGGGGACAATTTCATCTTAGATTTTCTGCTTTTCCTCCACCACACACATCCCAGTGTTCCTTTATCTCTCCATTGGTGTGAAATTTGCATATCTCTCCCCCCGCCCCCCGCCCATGCCTCTCCCTTAACTCTTTCCTACTTTTGTCTATGGTGCCCAGCAAACAGAGCAGAATTGATCAGCAACTGAACATATTGGAAGGGTTTGGGGTTAGGGTTAGAGTTAGAGCTAGGGTTAGGGAAGTTGTAGTTCACCCTGCATCAAGACAGAGCACTGTGACCCCCAGCAATGGATATAGACCAAATTTGGCACACAAAACTCCCATGACCAACGAAAAATACTGGAGAGGTTTGGGGAGGAGGGAATTGACCTTGATTTATAGGAAGTGTAGCTCACATGCAGAGAGCACTGTGAACCCAAAGAACAGTTGACTTGGACCAAATTTGGCACGTATACCCGATACATCCAAATTGGAATACTGGTGGGTTTTGGGGAAATTGCCCTTTACGTTTGGGAGTTGTGGCACTGGGATTTAAAGTTTACCTGCAATCAAAGAGCACTCTGGACCTCACCAACAATGGACCTGGACCTCACTTGGCCCACACAAACCCCCATGACCAACAAAAAATACTGGAGGGCTTTGGGGGGGAATTCACCTTGATTTGGGGGAGTTGTAGTTCACCTACATCCAGAGCACAGTGAACTCGAACGACGATGCACACATGCCTGATATGCCCAAATTTGAATACTGAAGGAGTTTGGGAGGGATAGACTTTGATTTCTGGGAGTTGTAGTTCACCTACAACCAGAGAAACTGATCCCCATGGACAATGGACCGAAACCAAACTTGGCACAGAGACGCTCCATGACCAACTGAACACACTGGAGGGATTTGTGGCAATGGGCCTTGATTTTGGGAGTTGTAGTTCACCCTCATCCAGAGAGCACTGAACGCAGCTGACGTTGGATCTGGACCAAACTTGGCACCCAGACCCATCAAGGTCAACTTAGAATACTGGTGGAGTTTGAGGTAATTGGCACACGATTTTGGGAGTTGCAGTTCACCCACACCCTTTTTCATTTTCTAATGGGAGCATTCATAAAAAACAACAGGAAATACTGGCTTTTTTTCTAAGAAATAGAGCTACAAATTACCGAACTGATATTACCTAACACCCCAAAATAAACAATGCCTTTTTCAAATAACCTGGGCACCGTCGGGTGCCCAAGCTTTAATAATAATAATAATAATAATAATAATAATAATAATAATAATAATAATAGCATGATAATAACACTATGTAACATGATTACACCAGAATTAAAGCAATTATTTGCAATGAAATAAATCACAGAAACATATAATAGAATCCTAGAGTTGGAAGAAATCCCAAGGGCCATCTAGTCCAACCCTTTCCTGCAAAATCAGATTCGCCTTCTTTGCTGTACATTGATCAACACTATATAACACAGTTTTTATTCCTGGTTCTAAATGTCATTTCCTAATTGGTTCTATCATAAAAACTTGGAAAAAGTTTATTAGACTTCAGAAACTTTGTTTTGGTGGGACATCCTCCAGCACATTTTGCTCTAGGTTTTCAATTACTATCTCATTGAGTCTTAACCAATCCAACATTGTTTCTGGCAGCCACAAAAATGAAGTTTTTGCAGTATAACAACTACTTTCAAAGTAAGGGCCGCACAATTAAACAGGAAATAACACTTTGAAACCAGGAACACACTTTTCCCCCCAAATTTTGTTACATAGTGTAATAATAAATTGATGGCTATTAAAGTAGTTAGCCCTTTTGGGTTATTTGCAGGTTTTAACTAAATTTTGATCAGCAAATGTGGAGGGCTGAATATACAAGACTAGTAGTAACTATAGCACTACTCTGGTTGAGAGTTGTCAGGAATATTAAAAATTAACTTGAGTATTTTTGATTACAAAAGTGAGTCAAGCACTGAGTTAGTACACCGAAGCCTGTTAGTGTTAGTTTGCCTCAGCGAGGGAACTCTTCGGTCTATGTGAGGAGGCTTCTCTGTGAGGTAGGCCTCACAGTATGAGGAAGGCCTGATATGAGAAGGCCTGGTGTAAGAGAAGCCTCGTGTCCATCCGTAGGTCATCCAGGCCAGCTGCTTTGCCATTTTTACATTTATTGAGAGCCATGTCCAATTCATTAGATGTAAAGGGTTCATGGAGGTTGTTGTTCTCAATCTCTGGTTGCCTGGCTATTGGTTTCTTTCCTACTTTGGTGGCAAAGTTGGGTTTCCCATTCTTCAAGAGTTGGGCCTCGTGTCGAAAAGCTCCCATGTCTAAAGCTACTGTGTATTTGTTTATTTGTGTTGTGGAAACCTTGTTCTTTTAAATAGCCACCCTGAGGAGAATGATTAGGCCGAAGCCTGTTAGTTAGTTTGCCTCAGTGAGGGAACTCCTCAATCTATGTGAGGAGGCTTCTCTGTGAGGTAGGTCTCACAGTATGAGGAAGGCCTGATATGAGAAGGCCTGGTGTGAGAGAAGCCTCGTGTGGAAAAGCTCCTATGTCTAAAGCTACTATGTATTTGTTTATTCGTGTTGTGGAAACCTTGTTCTTTTAAATAGCCACCCTGAGGAGAGTGATTAGGCCGAAGCCTGTTATTGTTAGTTTGCTTTAGTGAGGGAACTTCTCAGGCTATGTGAGGAGGCTTCTCTGTGAGGTAGGCCTCACAGTATGAGGAAGGCCTGGTGTGAGAGAAGCCTCGTGTGGAAAAGCTCCTATGTCTAAAGCTGCTGTGTATTTGTTTATTCGTGTTGTGGAAACCTTGTTCTTGTAAATAGCCACCCTGACGAGAGTGATTAGACCCAAGCCTGTTATTATTAGTTTGCTTCAGTGAGAGAACTTCTCAGACTATGTGAGGAGGCTTCTCTGTGAGGTAGGCCTCACAGTATGAGGAAGGCCTGATGTGAGAGAAGCCTTGTGTGGAAAAGCTCCTATGTCTAAAGCGACTGTGTATTTGTTTATTCGTGTTGTAAAAACCTTGTTCTTGTAAATAGCCACCCTGWGGAGAGTGATTAGGCCGAAGCCTGTTATTGTTAGTTTGCTTCAGTGAGGGAACTTTTCAGTCTATGTGAGGAGGCTTCTCTGTGAGGTAGGCCTCACAGTATGAGGAAGGCCTGATATGAGAAGGCCTGGTGTGAGAGAAGCCTCATGTGGAAAAGCTCCTATGTCTAAAGCTACTGTGTATTTGCTTATTCGTGTTGTGGAAACCTTGTTCTTGTAAATAGTACAACTATATTATTTTACTACAAAGAAAGGCGTCCTATGGAAGATATAACATTGGTCTCTGTGTTTTTGTCCTTTTTATCACTTTGGGCTACTGGCACAGGGTCACGCTGCTGCTGAGTTGCTCTGCTGAACATTTATGAGGGAGGGTCTTTTGTTATTAAGCCCACTCGCCCAACAAGAGTCGATTCTTATGCAATTATTAGAACAAAAGAGTCCGCACCTTCCATTAAGAGGTCGATCACATCACCCACATTGAAGCTGAGCTCGTCCACGTCTTGGCTGAGATATTGATAAAGGGCCCGGCAGCGGGGCCCGGTAGCTTTGGGCTGCGGCTTGGGCCTCCCCACTGCTGGAGGAGGCCTTTGGCTAATGCTGCGCTTCCTTTGGGTCCTGTGAGGCAGGAAGCAACATGGGAGTCAGTGAGAACACCTACAGGGCACAACAGAAGGACTCAACAATACACATTCTTGCAATCTTTCATTTTAAGGTAGCTAAAGCATCAATTACCCAGCCATTCCTTGGTCAGGAACGTTGAGGAACTCCATGTTGTGTTCGGAGGGCGTCCTGGCCTTGGCCCTCCGCGAAACCCCTTGCTTGGGGAGCGCCGTTGCCGGGGGTGCTTGCCCCGCCCGCCTCGGGGTGCTGTAGGGTTCCTCCTGCAGACGGCTGCTGTTGCGGGGAAACTGTGCGGCACCATTCCGGAAATTCCCCGAAGGAGGTCCCCCTGCGTTTGAGAGGCATTTGGCAAACAAATGAACCTTTCTGACAATGTTTCAGATCACGGGTTCAAACGCCATAACTGCTAGGAATGTGGGTTTATGGTGCCGACCCCAACACCGTACCCATCGTCATGCCCCAATAGAAACATTTCCAAGCAGCGACAAGCAAAGGACAGATCGTTTAACCTCTCCGAGTCACTGTAAATATCCTAATTCACATTCGAACCATTGATGGGCTGCTTGAGAATTAACATATCTTAATGATATAATAATTTGTGCTGTGGTTGTTAGCCATTCCATTAGAATTTCCAGTTGGATCTGTAATAGTCAAACAATATATAGAGTGGGACCATGGTGTCTGCTGGGGTTTGCTACTGAAATCTGGATGTTTATACCCTCATTTTCTTGGATTTTAACTCCCTGTTCAGTCTCCTTACATTCTTTATTCGCATTCCCAAACCTTTAATTGCCCTTTTTTAGTTGTACTTTTCACCTTCTCTAGGTGAATTATTCAATTATTATTATTATTATTATTATTATTATTATTATTATTATTATTATTATTATTCCATTATTATTATTATTATTATTATTATTATTATTATTATTATTATCTTTATTTGTACCCCACGAGCATCTCCCGAAGGACTCGATGCGGCTTACAAAGGCCAAGGCCTCAATAAAACAACAACATAACAATACACATAGCATTATAAAGCAAATCAAAACATTAAACAATAACAGTAAACAATAGAAACAATACACCATGACACAATAAAACTAGGGCCAGGCCGAATGTAATGGGTACAGATTAAAAAGTGCTGAGTATTTTAGGGTAAGTGCAATGTGCAGACAATCTTAAATCTCTGATAAAGTGCTTCTGGGACATATTCAAGCTTTCCTACCTCCTTTGAGTCTCCTTTGGTAGAGAAATACTACAATGACTAACAATAATAATACCTCTTGGGGCTGGCGGTGTGGCTCGTGGGGGTCCTTTTGGCCTCTGGTGAGCTTTGCTGTGGTGGATTTCTTTCCTGGTGGGCTCTGGCAGGGAAAAAAGAAAATACAAGCGAGATGTAAGACAAAATTTCCTTACGTGGTGTTTGGAGCCACTTAACTAGAACCAAAGCAGAAACACAGGGCTGCTACACATCCAAGAGTTGGAAGGGACTCCCAAAGGCTATCTAGTCCAAGGTAGAGTAGAGGGAGGTTCCATCAAACTACAATAATAACTTTTGCCATCTTGACCACCTCCAGGTGATAATTGATGACACATATCTGATTTTAACTTGGTGAAATGTTGTAGACCTATGGTCCCATCAAGACCAACACTTACTGGAGTTCTTTGGCAATCCGCTCCCAATGGAGACGGTCAATGTCTTCCCTCCAGCCTTGAGGACAGCGGCGCTGCCTTGACCACTCATGAAGGTCACTGTCCGAGTCCCACCGCCTCCCCAGCCTTCTTTCTTGACCCGGAACTGTAGCCTGAAGAAGGAATCCCAATGGCGTTTGAGTTCTTTCAATGGTTGCACACCTTTGTCTAAAACCCATTTTTCAAAAAACCTGAATCCCTGAATCAGCTGTCTGGGTCTGCTTACGTGTCATTGAAGTTGAGGAGGAGTTTCCGCCGGGTGGCTTCTTCATACCGCTTGCACAGAAGGCTGATGAGTTCCGTCTTGAAAATGGACTCCAGGAATGTATCCACCTCCGCTTCATGGAGGATGAAAAAATCATCCTGTTTGGTGCTGAGGAGTAAGTGATATCCATAAGAAAAATCAAATTTTGGGGGGAAGTAATACAGATATCCCAAAACATGGAAGTAGCATGGAAGGCAACTCCATTGTCTTCTAGTGCTGGAGCTCAAGGTAGATTTTGCAAATTCCTTGAGAGATACAGATGAAATAGACCAACGAACCCTTGGAAGGAAGGTTCTCACCTGAGCGAGACTCTATTCACAGCTTGGACTTCCACTTTCTTCTTCAGCACCTCTCGGATTTGACCTTTCTCGGGGCCTTTTTTCACCTTCTCTCGGCCAATCATATAGAAGTATTTGGGGGTCAAGATGAAGTCACGCTTGATCGGCTGAAGAGGAGGCAAACGAGATGGCGAGAGGTGAACCATGTCTGAATGAATAATGCCCAACACTAACTAGGATCTATGGTTCCCAAACTCTAAGCTCCCTGAATCCTTGACCATTGGACAAGCTAGGCTGGGTCTTCTGGTAGCTGAACTACAAAACACCAAGAAGACTTGGAATTAGAAAGGAAACCCAAAATAAATACTTATATAGTATTTATATGGAGCGTCAATATGCCGGCCGATATGCACATGACTTTGGCGGAATCTACGGACAACACCGGCTCTTAGGCATAGAAATGGAGATGAGAACCAACCCCCAGAGTCAGACACGACTGGACTTAATGTCAGGGGAAAACCTTTACTTTTACCTATTTATATAAGTATAAATATGATTCTGGAGACCATGGTTCAGATCCCCGTTTGACCATGAATCTTGGGTGAGGCTAAAGATCTTAAACCGAGGAAATGTTTGGTTTGCTGAAAGTTGGAAAAGAGACCCGTCAACACACAACAACTTTCACCTTAAACCTTCGGTCGTATTTGGTGACCGAGTCGGCAAAATCAATCCGTTCCCTTTTGGCCAAGAACTGGCGGAGTTCAGGTTTGTCCTCCATGCCCAGGTAGTCGCCCACGAAGTTTCGGTTGATGCTGTTTCTTCGCCTCTCCTTGAAGTTGTACAGGATGTGGGAGGCTACGCCGCAAGCAAAAAAGTGACTCGTTTGGATTCATCCCCCTCCCATTTTATATATAAATATAATGATTTGATCAGAGACATGAATTCATCTCCAAGTCCCTCTCCAAATGACAGATCCCAGGATTCTGCTAAAACTGTGTAATGCAAATAATGGTGTCCCATAATGCTGGCGTTCCTCACCTTCTTCCCGCATTTGCTCGTATTTCCGGATGGCAATGTGGCGTCGCCACGCTTTCTGGATGACCCGGGCGAATCCGTCAAACTTCCGTTCCCGCATCTCTTCAAGAAGGAAGAGCTGGCAAGGTATGTGGAGAAACAAGTGAACCTTTTCGTTATTAATTCATTAGTGCAACGTTCAGCTCTCCACATTTGCAAAAAGGAACATCCCCAAATATAAGACATCTCTCCAGGAATCTCTAGAGCCTCCAGCATGACTTTATGGTTGACATCAACCATACAATCACACTAGAAGACCAAGAGATTTTTAGAGAGATGTTGTCTCCAATGCGAGGAGCTAGAGACTCTAAGAGATATTGCTAAGGGCACTGCCAAGCTCTTACCGACTCTGGGTTCTTGACAAAAACCTTGGTGCGACCCATCTGGTACTGGTCGGCATCCATGTTGACGGACCTCAACAAATGCTGGACCCCCTGGCGCTCGTCTCCCCTCCACCTTGGCCAGGTCTCTGGGGTGAGGATGGCATACCTGCAAAGCAGAACACTCGCTGATACTTCATGAGACTACAAAAAAGCTTTGTGATGCCTTTTGAGTTTCCCAGTTGCAATATCTGAATCGGCCACTTGGGGGAGAGAGAAACACCCTATAATTTCCCAATGACACAATTTCCCAGTTGCAATATCTGAACTGATCACTTGGGAGAGAAAGAGAAGTACCTTATACTTCCCCATTATCGTGACCATAATAGCAACTTCTTAGCAACCAGTAACCGAGTAAATTAGTGTTCTGGATAGCAGTAATGAGTAGTTACCAGTAAAGTAAGTAGTCCCAAAGTCATTATAGGTCCCTGATGTCTTCAGAGGTGCCCCTTACCTTTGCAGGAATTTTTGGAACAGCCTGCGGTAGGCAAAGCCGGCCCGGCGGACTCGGATGTTCTCCTTCAAACCCAGGTACTCGACTTGATGCTTCACCCTACAAGAGCCAATATAACAGAGGTAGTTGTTAGTCCTATACTCAATGGAGTCAGAAGGTGCCATGTTTCCCTGTCCTGCTTTTTTTTTTTTTTTGGGGGGGGGGGGGGGGGAACTACAACTCCCGGGATGTAGAGGAACCTTGTAATTCCTCACCTGCTCTCCTCCCAGTCGCGGGGCCTCTTGGTCTCGTTGGGTTTGATGCAGCGGATGTAGTGCGGGGTGCACTTCATCAGCGTGTTCACCAGGTCATTGGCTTGTTTCTGTTTAGGAAAGGAGGATGAAGATGATGCATAGCAAACGTTTGCAGTCAAATCTATAACAGTCAAGATGGGTACAGCCTTACTTTGATTTTGCTCCCGGCTGTTGTGGGCCGTCCTTTTTTGTCCGCGTCCAGTTTTTCGGGGAAGAGTGTCCGGATGAAAGCGCTGAGAAATTAAGAGGTGTCTCATTATTATTATTATTATTATTATTATTATTATTATTATTATTATTATGCTACCTAATAATCGAAGCAGAGAGGGAAATACACTCACAACTCGCTGCTTTGCATCAGCTCGATCAAGTCGGTGAATAGGACATCTCTGTTCCGTTCGCAAAATCCGCTCACATCATAGGAAACCTAGAAGACATTAAAGGTCTTCGCATCCAATATGGCCAAAGTAACGTCTCTCTTTTCTCCCCATAACTTAATAGTGCTCTTTTTGGAAATTGAGAGAACACTTCTGTGGGAATCTCTAGGTCAGTGTTTCTCAACCTAGGGGTCGGGACCCCGGGGGGGGGGGTCGCAAGGGGGTTTCAGAGGGGTCGCCAAACACCATTAGAAAACATATATTTCTGATTGTCTTAGGCAGAGAAGGCTGAAGATCACTCCGCCTGTCCGTCTCTTCCTGTTTGGAAACAGAGGGTGAATCCTCCCACCAAAAGCCCTCCTGCGCTGTGATTGACTGGTCTCTCAGCCAAGCGGTGGGCTGTTTCTGAGACTCCAAGCAGGGAGGGGAGAGCAGGCATGCTCGGTGCATGGCAGTGTGATGTGCATGTGTGGGCAAGGGAGAGTGTGCGAGGCTGGAAGGAGGCCTGTGCCAGCAAGTCCCTTCAAGGCATGGGGGTTTTGTGTGGGAAGTTTGGCCCAGCAACTGCAACTCGCAAATGTCAAGGGTTACATTTGGGCATATTGAGTATTCATGCCAAGTTTGGTCCAGATCTATCATTGTTTGAGTCCACAGCGCTCTCTGGATGAAGGTGAACTACAACTCCAGAACTCAAGGCCAATGCCCACCAAATCCTTCCAGTATTTTCTGTTGTCATGGTGCCAAGTTTGGTTCAATTCCATCCTTGGTGGAGTTCAGAATGCTCTTTGATTATGTGTTAACTCCCAAATGACAAAATTACCCCCCCCCCCCCCACAACCTCACCAGTATTCAAATTTGGGAGTATGGGATATTTGTGTCCAATTTGGTCCAGTGAATGAAAATACATCCTGCATATCAGATATTTGCCTTCTGATTCATAACAGTAGCAAAATTACAGATATGAAGTAGCAACGAAAATAATGTTATGGTTGGGGGACCGTATTAAGGAACCGTATTAAGGGGTCATGGCATTAGGAAGGTTGAGAAACACTGCTCTAGATCCTCCATTGTGTCTCTATATGGCCAGATGTGTCACGCACACAGCCTTTACTGGGATACAACAGCAAAATCACAACATAGGCATATACAACAATATTAAAAAGAAAGCATAATTAAGAGTTAGTCATCTCAAGAATAAACAATCTCACAAAAGAATGCATTAGAGTTGTTTTATAACACTCTTGCCATTGAGAACACAGTGAAAAACAGAACTCCTGTATTTCATCTGTATATTATCTTTAGAGCAAACAAAGAATGGTGAAGTGTTTTGACACAATCCGAGTCACAAGAACAAATCCTTTCGGATTGTTCCACATTTTTATACCTCCCACACAAAAGAGCTAATGGCAACACACTGCATCTTGCAGTCACCAAAGCTCTCCTCTGGGTCGGATTGATCAAAATGTGAAGCTGAGCATGGAATCAATGACGTGGTCGGGGAACAAATTTATTTTATTTATTTATTTCCAACATTTCTACCCCGTCCTTCTCAACCCACAAAGGAGGACTCAGGGCGGCTTACAACGGCAGCAATTTGATGCCGATAACATACAAACACATTGCAACATCATTATACAAGAGAAAAGCACTAGATTAAAATACATTAAAATACATTGGATTAAAATACGTTAAAACATTATTATTCATATAGCCAAGTCCAAATCTAATTTAGTGACCGACGACTCAGTCCAAGCCTGTCATTGTTAGAGTTCAAGCATTGTGAATACTGCCAAACCTACTGGTCCCAAACCCCTGTTTTGAGCTTCTTTCTAAAAGAGATGAGGGATGAAGCCGACCTAATTTTGCTAGGGTGAGCATTCCACAAGCGGAGGGCCACCACCGAGAAGGCCCTGTCCCTTATCCCTGCCAATCGAGCTTGTGAGGAGGGTGGGACTGAGAGCAGGGCCTCTCTGGACAACCTTAAATTCCAAAGTGGGATGTAGAGGGAGATACGTTCGGACACATAAGCTGGGCTGGAACTGTATATGGCTTTATAGGCCAAGACCAGCACTTTGAATTTTGCTCGGAAGTGGACCGGCAAATTGTCTTTGCTGCAAGAGTCAGATTATGAAAGTCAAGATCCAAAAGTCTGCTCTTGACTGACCTGCAGACTTCCACATTAGGACAGGCCAATTGTTTCAATCTTTCTGAGAATCATTTATCTATACACATAATAAAAGCAAAAATATGTGTGTATATCTGTGGCTAGGGTGTCCACTTACACAGACAAGCTCCTGCCTCCACAATTAGCTATAGCTCCCACTACTCAGGAGACACTAATTGCCCTCCCTCCACCAGCTTTGACGCGATGCTCCTACACCATCAACTCCGCTGGACTGGCCACATTGTCCAAATGCCCAATCACAGTCTCCCAAAGCAGTTACTATATTCCGAAATCAAGAACGGAAAACAGAATGTTGATGGATAGGAAAAGAGATTTAAAGATGGGCTTAAAGCATAGACACCAAGAATTGGGAAGCCCTGGCCCTTGAGTGCTCTAGCTGGAGGTCAGCTGTGAGCAGCAGTGCTACAGAATTCGAAGAGGCATGAATGGAGGGTGAAAGGGAGAAACGTACCAAGAGAAAGGCATGTGAAGCCAGTCCTGACCAGGACTGCCTTCCACCTGGAAACCAAAGTTCTCACTGCAGAAGAACATGCGGATCAAAAATGGGGCTCCACAGCATATACACCATGTATAGACCACCAAGACACTACACTTGGAGGGCCATCACCCTCAGGCTATGAGGGATTGCCTAAGTCAATCCCTTCAATGACATTGCAGGTTATAGTGAGCGCCATGAACATGTCCAAGAGCCCTGCCAATGTCCTCCACAAAACTATCTTGCCCCCTCCCCCACCCAAGTGAAGGCTTTCATTCAAAGACAATTTTATCTTAGATTTTCTGTGTTTCCTCCACCACAGACATCCACAGACATCCCGATATGTAAATAGATGTACATAGGCAACGAGTGAAAATTAAAGCCTCCAAAGGCATTTGGAGGAAAGTTAGAGCTCAAATGTGTTTATTAAAGTGGCAAGCAGCAAACAAGGTCAGAGGCTGTACTATAAATCTCTGCTAACTACAGATAAAGACTCTGTAGTGTTTCTTGGTTGGATCTAACGGCTCGCCTTGAGACAATCAGTCCCATGCACAGAACAGGGCGGACGTGAGAGAAGGAACTCATTCATGTATACCTACTCAATGAGTGTTGACAACATTGGTATCGACTTTGGCCATAAAATCACTTGAGGGTCTAGGAATTCCTAGAGAAAATGATTAGGGATTGGGAAGGGAAGCCACAGACCTTGCCAGCATAGTGGTGGACGACGAATCCGCCGCTGGAACCGTTGAAATGCTCGTGAGTCCCAACAGCCGACTGCAGCTTCTGCAACAGCGTCTGGTCGGCCCCGTCCCCTTTGGCATACACTGTGGCGCAGACATCATCTAAGATGCTCATGATGCCTGGAGGATTCTGGGAAAAGATGGGAAATCGCAGCACTGACATCACCCATTGGACCCTCCCCGTTGCGTGTCAATCAATGACATCACCGATGAAATCATCCTCTTACCAGCTTGTTTTCGATGAGGTCGCACACTACTTTGTTGTTGAAATACTCAATCGGGGTCCATTTGATGCCTTCCTGAACATACTCTTCCTAAGCCCAAAGGCGGGGGAAATAAGGTGTGTTATTGTCATCATATAGCTTGATTTTTGCTTCGTTTGTTTTAAACTAAACCCTAATATTTTAAGAGGGGTTGCCTCCCTTTTTACCCTGAAAAGGGACATCTCACCTGTTCAGCTTTGAGGGTCAGCTCGATGAAGATCTGCTGCAGCTTTTCGTTCACAAAGTTGATGCAGAATTGCTCAAAGCCGTTTCTCTAAAAGGAAGAGTAGATATACATATATACAAACACACCTATTTTTCAGACATGACATATATACACACACACGTGTGTGTGTGTGTGTGTGTATATATATATTACACACACACACACACACATATACACACACACACATATACACACACACAAATACATCCATATATGCATATACATATGTATACTTCAAACAGGACTATATACACATACATACATTGTATGTATATAGATATATATTCTTTAAACATGACCAATAAATATATATGTATATACATATGTATACCTCAAAGAGGATTACTAAATATATATGTGTGTTCATATATACACACATTAAATGTATATACATATACTTCAAACATGACAACAAATATATATACATATGAGTGTGTGTGTATATATATACACGTACATATACTTCAAACAGGACTACTAAATATATATGTGTGCATATATACACACATATATACAAGTGTTTGTATGTATATACATATATATTCAAACATGACTATTACATGTATATGTACAAACATATATACTCTTCAAATATGTATGTGTATATATATGTGTGTGTGTATATAAACACACACATACATATATATACATGATTAATAAATATGTATATCCATAGAAATATAGATACATATGCTTAAATACAGATACTTAAACATGACTAATAAATATATGTATGCATATACATACAAACATGTATATATACATACAAACACATACACACACACACACACACTTTCATATATATATTCAAACTTCAAACAGGTCATTCATATATATATATATATATATATATATATATATATATACGCACACATAAATATATATTCTTTAGACACACACATATATATGCATGTACTTAGATATATACAGACATATTTACATACCTACATACATATTTTTCAAAGAGGATTCATAAATATATGTGTATACACACATACATACATATATACACACACATATATTTATTAGTTCAATTTGAAGAATCCTGAACAGACAGCAACAAGGTCACATGGTCTCTGGAGTCACTTAGATGAATGAACTCATCCCTTCCTTTGGATATGATGTAAAAATAAACAACATCCATTTGGACTTCTTATTATTTTGGACCACTAGGTTACCTGAAATATTTCAAAGCCGTAAATGTCCAAGACGCCAATGCTATATTCTTCATTTGGTTTCTGCATTGCCCGGTTGATTGACTGGGGGAAAGAAAAGAGGATTTTAAGGCAGGAAATTGAATAAAGGAGTTGGTGTTCGAAGGAGCAAGCCGAGAAAGGAAACATCTCTTACTCAAAACCCTATCACCATGTAGAGATGGATAATAATAATAATAATAATAATAATAATAATAATAATATTCCATATCCATATTATTTATATTCTGCTCTATCTCCCCGAGGGGACTCGGGGCAGATTACAGAACACATATACGACAAACATTCAATGCCGTTATATTATTAACAAGGACAGACAATACATAAACAGAGACAAAGGCTTTCACCATCTTTTCCATTTCTGGCATCTGGAGGCTGTGTTCGACTCCAGCCACGAGTGTGTGCGTGTGTGCTGTCACTCCATGTTCCATGCCAAGGAGCTTTGTTGTTCTTGGAAGTCCTCCCGATTGAATTGCCGGCATGTCCTTTAGGGGCGCCTTTTATTACCTCCCCGCTTAAAGCGGTACCTATTTCTCTATTCACATTTTTGTTTTCGATCTGTTAGGTGGGAGGGATCTGGGGTTGTCAGCGGGTGCTCACCCTGAACTGCCAATCTTTCAATCAACAGGATTTTCTGCAGCTTAGCAGTTTAACTCGCTGTGCTAAGCCTGGCCCCTTGTGATAGAACAAGTTATAATTCTCAGAAGCCCTTCCGTCTTGTGCACATTTTTCTTGAACTGGACACAGGGTCATTCAAGATGAGCAAAGCAGAAGAGAGTGTGACTATGACTTCCCTTTATTACTATTGGTCCAGCCTAGGATTGTATTGGCCTTCTTTGCTGCTGTCGGACTCACCTCCACCAGGAAATCGAAGACACGGGAGTAGAGTCCCTTGGCCAGGGCGTCCCGGGTGTAGGAGGCCTGCTCGACATTGAGAGTGACATTGATGGACTCGGAGCGTCCCCCCCATTTGCTGTCCATCTTGCGGCTGGTCAGCTTGTCATTCAGGCGGTCCTTGTCGATACCCAAAAGATAAGCCGGGAAGGCGAGTACTACAGCAGGGAAAACAACAACAGAAACATGGCTTTTAAAAGTTAATGACAGTTACCCTGTAGTTACACTTATAAAGATTAAAAATGGAGCGTTAAGATTCTGTTTCATTTTGTATTCCGAATCTCCAATGCTTTGTAATGGTTTCGTTCAGATTTATTCCATTAGCGGTGAGGGGGAAATTTTTGAGGCTCGTTTCTCCATCATGTTTAAGTCTTGCAGGATGAAACTTGGCACACTTGTAGACAACATTGATGTCTTTAAGCCTGCCAAGTTTCGGAATGTTTCGATAACCCACTAAGTTTTAGGAATTTTATAAACAGTTTTTACAAGTAGTCCCATTTATACATTTAAGCCTGCCAAGTTGCAGAACGTTTCAGTCATCCACTAATTTTTTGGAAATTTAAAACGTTTTTACAAATTATTAAAAATTAACTACAAGAGGTATCTGCTTGATTTTCTGCACAATGAGACAACATAAGCAAGGCATCCATCCTGCAGTTTCAGAAAGATTTGTTCATCTACTGATTTTTAGGAATTTAAAAAACTTTTAAAAGCACACATCTTTCTCTCCTACTAACTCCACAAAAAATCACAGATGCTGAAGGGAGGAGACCAGCTTTGCGGAAAGCCATGTGATTGGCTGACGAGGAAAAAACCAGCACGCAACCGCCATTGTCAATCACATCAGCCTCCTCCCACTACAGACAATGATGGAGTATGTTTTGGAGGCTTCCACTTCCGTTTCATAGAATCATAGAGTTGGAAGAGATCTCGTGAGCCATCCAGTCCAACCCCCTGCCAAGAAGCAGGAAAATCGCATGCAAAGTAATAGTTTCGTAATGCTTCAAAGGAGGTCAATGTATGCTATGTCAAGTTCCATTCTGGTTTTGGAATATCCTTCCTTTGGGGTCGTTCGAGGCCAAATCAAAGTTGTTCTTCCTAACGTTTTAACTGAATCCGAACTCCCTTAACCCGAATGCTATACTAAGCTCTTGTCTTGCCTCATTGATACTAAATTTGCTTCTGTTTGCCTGCAACTCACAGTCAGGGTTTTCCACTTGCGCATAGTTGCCCTGCTCCTGGAAGCCAATGTTGCCCAAGTGAAGGATGCCGGCGATGATCTGTAGGACGAGTTGCTTATCTTGGCGAGCAATGCCGATTACATCCATGGCATTCTGGGGAGGAAAAAAAAAAAGAGAGAAATGAGGCAAGAAGATGGTCAAGAACGGAGGATATGAGACAAGGTCTTCTTAGTGGACACTCCTATGCAGTACCTTCCCATAGGAGGCCCGACTGGTCCCTTCCCTACTCTCTTTTAATTTACTAGGCACATTTTAATTGTTTTTGATTATTTAAATCAAGTCAGCTCTTTCACACTTGGATCCCCTATTTGAACAACTATAAGACCAGAAGCATTTGGGATTTTTCCAGAAAGAGACGTAATGATGACAAGAAGGAAAGGAAAGAAAGAACGAAACAGGAGGAAAAAAGGAGAAGAGCAGAGAGGCCTTATCGAGCAAAGCCGCAAAAGGGAAACCTACAAATGTGGAGGACCAACTGTATACGCTTCAAGGCAAAACCTGTGTGAGTGTGTCACAAATCCGCTCCTGATTTTAGTCCAAACTTTGACACTGTTCTCCAAGGCGGCCATGTTTGAAGACCTGAGCGCCATAGAAAAAGCTCAACCAGAGTCAATAATATCACTCTCCGGGGGATTTTTGGGATACATGGTTCGGTAGCTTTTGACTCTCGTAACAAAAATGAGAACGGAGTCTCCTAAATCTAGCTTGAAAGTAGATCAATAGGATGAGTGAGTCTTATCTATGTCAATTGATTTCCTTTTTGCGAAGGAGTGATGCTGGATCAGGCCAATATTTTTTGCCATTCCGTTATGTTTGTGTCGTGCAAAACCACTCACCATGGTTTCCTGGAAGTCGCTGCAATCGTTGGTCCCATCCACAACATACGTCTCTGACTGGTTGAGGTAATAATAGTAGTCTGGGGTCATGATACCCAAGTTGTGTTTCTGGTCCGCCGTAGCACCTTCAATGAGCTGGTGAGGGGGGAATGTCAAGAATACACAGTCAAGACCCTCCTGACAGATGGCCATCCAGTCTCTGATAAGAATCACAGAATCCCAAAGTTGGAAGAAACTCCAAAGTGCCATCCAGTCTGCCGTATAAGAATACACGATTAAAGCCCTCCCAACAGATTAAAGCCCTCCCTCTTATAGAATCATAGGGATCACAAAGGCCATTCAGGATGACCCCTGTCATAGGAAACTGTCATTTGGGGCAATACCTGGCTTAACAAGTGGGTTTCGGAGGGTGCATGGGGTACTTAATGACCATAAATGAATTTGCCATCTTGTAAATACCAAAGAGAATGACGGCTATCATTGCTAGCAAAACCCAATATCCAGAAACCAATTACTCATAATTCCGGCAACTGATTACTTATGATCCCTTATTCACGAGTCCACCTTTACCTGATAGTAGATGTGGAAGTTCCTCTCGCACTCGTTCTGGCTCACCACCCGGGACTTTTCCAGCAGGAAGTTGGAGATCTTTCCTCCATCAGGTTCCCCTCCGCGGCTGAACTGAATCTCGAAGTATTTCCCCTGAACGGGAACAATGAGAGAAGATGGATTGATGGGAGGATTGTAGAATCATGAAGTTGGGAGAGGGGTCCGTAGAGGTCATCTAGTCCAACTCTCAAGGCATGATCTCCAGCCAAAGTTCTAGAGATCTTCCCCTTGGAAGGCCTCTTATCATTTTGGGGCATTGGATTCTTATGTTTTCAAGGATAAGACTCACAAATCGGCTGGAGTTGTTGTTCCGAACGGTTTTGGCGTTGCCGAAGGCTTCAAGCAGCGGGTTGGACTGGAGGATGATGTCCTTGACGTGCTGTGGAGAAAAAAAAAGGAGAATGGGATTTGTAGTGCTTTGAACAGGGATAATTTCTGAACAGAAATCACTCCCAAACTATTTCACATTTATTTATTTTTTGGGCCGCCATTGCTCGCAACCCCGCCTTTGGGGAGGAAGAAATGGTAACCCTTTGAAAACTACCTCTCCAATTTCCCCATCAGATTCCTTGAAGGAGACCTACCTGAACTTTTTCACCGCCACCGGACACTTTGGAAATGTAGCCCATGATGTACTTGGCAGCCACGGTTTTCCCGGCGCCACTTTCGCCGCTAAAAAACCCCAAATATTGATATCAAAGTAGAAACAAATGGTCAATGGCTTCTCCTCCTGTCCGTCCTGAGCTTCATCCCCATCTCCTCCTTCCTTTTATTCTATCGTATCCTTTCCCTTTTTCTCCTCCTTTCTCTCCATCCTCACCCTCTCTCTTTTCCTTCCTTCCTTTATCTTGATTTCCATTTTGATCTTCATCTCCTTTCTCTCTTCATCACTATCTCCTTCTTTTCTTTCTTCATGTTCATCACTATCTCCTCCTTTTTCTCCATCTACTTGTTCCTCTCCTTCCTCATCTTTTCTTCCTTCTCCATCTTGGTCTCCACCATCTTCATCTCTTTCTTTATCTCTATTTCCAACACCATATTCTCCTTTTCCATCTTGATCTTCATCTCATCCTTCCTCTCCTTCTTCCTCATCATCTCTTTCTTCCCTCTTCTCCATCTTGGTCTTCATCTCCATCTTGATTATCATCTCCTTCCTCTCCTTCTTCATCTCCTTCTCCCCCTTCTTCATCTCCATTTCCATCACCATCTCCTCCTCTTTCTCCATCTTGTTCTCCATCTACTACTTCATCATCATCTTCTCCTTCTTCTCCAGCTTGGTCTCCATCTCCACCTTGATCTTCATCTCCTCCTTCTTCATCACCTTCTCCTTCTTCAATTCCATTTCCATGACCATGTCTTCCTCTTTCTCCATCTTGATTTCCATTGCTTTTTCCTCTCCTTCCTCACCTTTTCTTTTTTCCCCCTTCTCCATCTTGGTCTCTATTCCTCTCCCTCCATCTCATCTCTTCCCCTTTCTTCGCTTCCATTGCTATCTCTATCTTTGCCTCCATTTCCTCCCCCTCCTGCATCCCCATCTCCATCATCTCCACTTTTCTTTTTCCATCCATACCCTTCTCAAAATCCCAACCTCAGAACACTGGAATCTTGGGAGTTATAGTTTGACAACATGGGATGGAGCCTTTCAGTTACAAATATTATAAAACAACTCCCTTGGAGTGGGCAGCTGCGAGGGAGAAGGGGGAAGTTGATCCATATCCTGTGATGCTTCTGTTGCAACGCTTTGGTCGCAAAGGGGAACAAATGAAAGCAGAGGCAAAATCTAGAGCCTTTTTTCGAACTTACGGCTGGACTACAAACCCCATCATCCACATTGCTAGTCTAAACAATTCAAAAGGAAATTGGGCTCCTTACCTGATGATTACGCACTGGTTCTCTGCATCTATGAGCATGTTGCGGTACATATTGTCTGTCAAGGCATAGATATGGGGTGGGTTTTCATACTGAGCCTGGAATGGAATCAGGAAGAAGACAGAGATGAGGCCGGAAAATATATAACCATCCACCTACCTACCTATGTGTGTGTGTGTATATATATAGCTCCATTATCCATCTGCCTATCTAGCTGTCTGTCCGTCCATCCGTCCAGTCCATTTATCTGTCTGCCTGTCCTTCCATCACTCCATCCACCCATCCCCCTATCTATCTATCTATCTATCTATCTATCTATCCATCCATCCATCCATCTATCTACCCATCTATCTGTCTGTCTGTCCGTCCATTACTCCATTCATCCATCCAATTACCTCTTTCTATCCACCCACCCACCCATCCATCCATACTATTATTTATCTATCTCTATCTTCCTGTCCATCTATCTATCCATCCCTTTATCTATCTACTCATCCCTCCCTCCCTCCTTCTATCCATCCTTCCATCCTTCCATCTATCCATCCCTCTATCTATCTATCTATCTATCTATCTATCTATCTATCTATCTATCTATCTATCTATCTATCTCCCTATCTATTCATCCATCTATCTATCTATCTATCTATCTATCTATCTATCTATCAATCAATCAATCAATTTATCATCTATTTTTCATCTATCTCCATCTATCCATCCATCTATACATCTACTCATTCATCTCATTACCTATCTGTCTTTCCTTCTATCCCTCCACTTATACCATTACCTACCTACCTACCTATATCCATCCACCCCTCTATTTATCTATCCATCCATGCATCCCATTATTTATTTATCTATCCAGGCATGTGACATTCAAACCAAATGGAGTCTCCAAAGCTAATGCAGGATGGATTCACCTTCCTACCAAAATGGGGGGTAATAAATATAACAGAATCTAGTAGCAAGAGACCCCAAGGGCCATCCAGTCCAACCCTCTTCTGCCAGACAGGAAGATACAATTTGATCCCTCCCGACAGATGGCCAGCCTCTGCTTCTTTCCAGCCCTCTTGGGGATGCCTTTGGGGAGGAAAAAGCACCCCCAAAATAGAAATAATGGGACTCCGCGTCTCCATGCTGTACCGCTCCTTGGTAGAGTTCCACTTCTCGATCTGTAAAGTAAGGCATCTGTTTGAAGGGGTTGACGGAGATGAGGACCGGACCGATGTAAGTCTAAGGAGCTTTTGTTAAGGTCCAATGTTCAAACATCATCACAGTCAGATAGAGCACTCTTGTACAAGGAGGATCCTTCCATTGACCCAAATAGGTAAAAAACATCACCTCTCTCTTTCTCTTTTTCTAAAAACAGATATTTTTTATGGTTTCTTGTAACCACTGCAGGAGGAAGACTTCTTAAAAGCTTAGTTTCGAAAAAAGGAAGGAAGATTTCTGGTTTCTGTATGACTGTGCATTATGCTTGCTATGGGCCTTCAAGTCATTTTTGGCTCTTGTTTTTTTCCTTGCAAGATGATGATGATGATGATGATTACTATTAGTTGAGCCATGAGAAGAGGCGGGTAAGAATAAAATAATAATAATAATAATATAATAATAATAATAATAAGGCTCACTTTAATTTTAAAAATCACTTTAATTTTAAAACTCAACAAAGACCCTACAGACCCAGGATTGTACAGACCTATCTCATTAGTAAACCAAGATGCAAAAATATTAACTGCTATACTGGCTAAAAGGATGAATAAATTATATAAATATATCACATAGGATCAGTGTGGATTTATAGGAGAAAGGCAAATGTCAAATTTAATGGGTAGAATATTAAATGTAATTTATAGTATTAAAAAAAGAAATTAAGTGGCAGGAGTATTAGCTTTGGATATTTATAAGGCATTTGATAGTGTATCCTGGCAGACAATGACATTAATATTAGATAAATTTGGATTTGGAGAAAGATTTAGAAACCTAATTAATAAATTATATTCAAAAAATTATGCCCAAGTAATGGTGAATGATGGTTTAACAGAGAAAATAGATATAACACGAGGCACACGGCAGGGATGTCCCCTTTCCCCAATTTTATTCGCAATTGTAATGGAACTATTAGCTAATGTAATAAGAGAATAGGAAAAAAGAGAAATATAAAATATAGGGCCTTCTCGGTGGTGGCCCCTCATCTCTGGAACTCACTTCCCAAGGACATCAGGCATGCCGCAACTCTGGCAGTCTTCAGGAGGAGCCTGAAAATGTGGTTGTTCCAGTGTGCCTTCCCAGAATAAGGAAACTCTCAGCAATATGTCCTCTAAATGCACTTTATTACTGATTTAGGATTGCCTGCATGCCCCCATCCCTCTCTGAAAACTCTATCCCAGTTATATCTTACCTGTTCATGCCCAGCATTATTTTTTAAATTTTAATTATTACATTTGGCCCAGCCATAGGTTTTTAAACGTTTGTTGTGCTACTGTCAATGTTTATTGCTTATTTTTTGTTTATGAGATTTATTTTAACTGTTTTGTATTGTTGTTTGTTATTGCTTTTATTACTGATGTATTGTYGGCTCGGCCTCATGTAAGCTGCACCGAGTCCTTTGGGGAGATGGTAGCGGGGTATAAATAAAGTTATTATTATTATTATTATTATTATTATTATTATTATTATTAGAATACATTTGTTTGCAGATGATACCCTTTGATCAATAAAACAATGGGAGAAAATTGAGGCTCACTTAACAGAATTTGGATTGGGTTGTTGTAGGTTTTTTCGGGCTATATGGCCATGGTCTAGAGCAGGGGTCCTCAAACTAAGGCCCGAGGGCCGGATACGGCCCTCCAAGGCCATTTACCTGGCCCTCGCTCAGGGTCAACCTAAGTCTGAAACGACTTGAAAGCACACAATAACAACAACAATCCTATCTCATCAGCCAAAAGCAGGTCCACACTTCCCAATGAAGTTTATATTTGTTAAAATTGTTCTTCATTTTAATTAATGTATTGTTTTTAAGTGTTTTTGCACTACAAATAAGATATGTGCAGTGTGCATAAGAATACATTATAAACTGGCCCTCCAACAGTTTCAGGGACTGTGATCTGGCCCTCTGTTTAAAAAGTTTAAGGACCCCTGGTCTAGAGGCATTCTCCTCTGACGTTTCGCCTGCATCTATGGCAAGCATCCTCAGAGGTAGTGAGGTCTGTTGGAACTAGGAAAAAGGGTTTATATATCTGTGGAATGACCAGGGTGGGGCAAAGGACTCTTGTCTGCTGGAGCTAGGTGTGAATGTTTCAACTGACCACCTTGATTAGCATATAATGGCCTGACAGTGCCTGGAGCAAACTTTTGTTGAGAGGTGATTAGAAGTCCTTGTTTGTTTCCTCTCTGTTGTTGTGCTGTTGTAATTTTAGAGTTTTTTATTAACAGGTTTACAAATTAATTGGAACAAATCAGAAATGATGATATGTAATTATCGCAGTGGTTCTCAACCTTCCTAATGCCGTGACCCCTAAATACAGTTCCCCATGTTGTGGTGACCCCCAATCATAACCCTAACATTATGAATCGCCATGTAAATAATGATCTTCAGGATGTATTTTCATTCACTGGAGCAAATTTGGCACAAATACCCGGTATGCCAAATTTGTATACTGGTGGGGTTGGGAGGTGGGGATTTGATTTTGTCATTTGGGAGTTGTAGTTGCTGGGATTTATAGTTAACATGTAAACAAAGAGCATTCTGAACCCCACTAACAATGGATTTGAACCAAGGTTGGCACAGAGAACTCCCATGATCAACAGAAAATACTGGCAGGGTTTGGTGGGCATTGACCTTGAGTTTAGGAATTTTAGTTTGCCTACATGCAGAGAGCACTGTGGGCTCAAACAATGATGAATCTAGGTTCTTGTGGGTTTTTTCGGGCTATAGGGCCATGTTCTAGAGGCATTTCTCTAGAGGCAATGATGGATCTGGACCAAACTTGGCACGGATACTCAATATGCCCAAATGTGAACACTGATAGGGTTTGGGGAAAATAGACTTTGACATTTGGGAGTTGTACTTGCTGGGATTTATAGTTCACCTACAATCAAGGAGCGTTCTGAACCCCACCAATGATAGAATTGGGCCAAACTTCCCTCACAGAACCCCCATGACCAACAGAAAACACTGTGTTTTCTGATGGTCTTTGGCGACCCCTCTGACACCCCCTTCTGACCCCCCCAGGGGTCCCAACCCCCAGGTTGAGAAACACTGAACTATCGAGAAAAAGACATAAAAACATAAAACAGGAGGAGAAAATTAAAATTAAAGAAACAATTAAATATTTAGGGATAAATATAACTAAAGAATTTAAAAAACTTAGAAATAAACAATCTAACCAAATTAAGAAAGGAAATTGATAAGAAATTACTGGAATATAACAAGCTCAAATTATCATGGTTTGGTAGGATAGCTTTAGTTAAAATGAAGATATTACCCAAACTAAATTTTCTATTTAGCATGCTACCTGTAGAAATTTCAGATCAAGAAATAAAATGGCCAAACATGTTAAATCTGTATTGTAGTTGGAACAAAAAAGCTAGAATAAATAAAAGTTTATGGTATAAATCACAGAAAGAGGGAGGTCTTGGACTACCAAACCTCAAGTTATATTATCATTCAAATCAAATAAGATATATATTAGAAAGTTTAGCAAAACAAAAGAGCTTGGAGTGGCTGGAAGAAGATGATAAAAAATTAGAACTAAAATTAGAATGCATTATCTTATCTTATCTTATCTTATCTTATCTTATATTATATTATATTATATTATATTATATTATAGGGATAATAGAGGAAAGGGTAAAAAGAAATGGTATAATAATGTAAGCAACCCCTTTAAAATATATTTTGTTTTAGCTAATACTCGACATATCGATGATTACCATCCTATCGATGTATTTCTAATTGAAACTCTCAATAAAAATTACATATCTATATCTATATATATATGAAATTTGGGGGAGATATAAAAAAACCCATTGGAGAGATGGTGGCAGGATATAAATAAAGTTCATTATTATTATTATTATTATTATTATTATTATTATTATTATTGCCAGGTATTTCTCCTATCATGCCAGTTTTAATGACAGAAAACTTCCCAGCAAATTTGAAAAAAGAACTTGAAGCAGAATTCAATGGAAGAGGTTTAATGAAAGTAAAAGACTGGGACCTGAAGATGGTAAATATGGAAAGGATAAAAGCGGAATTAAGAGGAAGAGACTTAGATTGGTACAAGTATCTACAATTGGGTAAATGGTCCAGTGACATAAGGAAAAATTATAATGGAGGTAGGGAATATACAAAAATAGAAAAGATGATAACTCAAAGGGAGACTAAAGACGAGAATGCAACATTAAAATGTACAGTAAGCGATATCTATAAATTATTATTAATGGACGAACAAGAACAAGTTTACTGGAAGGAAGTATGGGAAGTAGATTTGGGGGGAAAAGTGAATAATAAAAAATGGACAAGTTTATGGAGTATGAGATTACTAAAAATCTATATATATATAAATGCTCTGTGCATAATGAATACCTTAAAAACAAAAGAACCAATGAACGAAATCGCACCAGATTTGGCAACAAAACGTCTCACAACACAAGGAATGACCATCACTCAAAAAATTATGATTTTGTCATTTGGGAGTTGTAGTTGCTGGGATTTATAGTTCACCTATAATCAAAGAGCATTCTGAACTCCAGCAATGATGGAATTGAACCAATCTTGGCAACTCCCATGACCAACAGAAAATACTGGAGAGGTTTAGTGAGCATTGACCTTGAGTTGTAGTTCACCTACCTCCAGAGAGCACTGTGGACTCAAACAATGATAGATCTGGACCAAACTTGGCACAAGCACTCAATACGCCCAAATATGAACACAGATGGAGTTTGGGGGAAATAGACCTTGACATTTAGGATTTGTAGTTACTGGGATTTATAGTTCACTACAATCAAAGAGCATTCTGAACCCCACAAATGACAGAATTGGGGCAAATTTCCCACACAGAACCCCCATGACCAACAGAAAATACTTAAGGCCATCCAATCCAACTCCCTTCACCAGGGCAAGAAGATGTAATCAAAGCCTTCCTGACAAAGAGCTATCCAGCCATAGAAATCGATAGAAATGATTCACACACAGATATAGTATCATAGATTTGAAAGGGACCCCTAAAGAAGGAAAATTATATGTTGCGTGTTCCAGGGTGGGCAAACCAGACAATCAACACTGACAAAAAAAAACAACAAAAAAACAAACAAACAAGAAATACTGTTTTTTCAAAAAACAACAAGAAATACTGCATAAAGAAATTACATATATTAGAAACCAACACTTTCTCATTACTTGATTTTCCAGATCACCAGACTCGGCCACAGCAATGTGTGGCAGGGGACGGCTAGTATGTCTATAAGAATTAAGAAAATATACTATCAAACGATATGGAGGTGGTATCTAACTCCCATTAGATTAAATCAGATTGATAAAAAAATACTCAAATCATATGTGGTGGTCATGTAAAACTATACAAAAATTTGGAAAAGCATATTTAAAGAAATAAGAGCAATAATAAAAATAGAGATTGAGATTACACCAAAATTAGCGTTATTACTTATACATGGAAATACAATTCCCTTACAAGAGGAGAAAGAATTGGTTTCTAATTTGATAACAGCAGCTAAATTGCTAATAGCCAAAAACTGGAAGGAAAAAAAATTCAATTAGAAGAATGGTACAGGGAAATTTGGAATATAGCTATTAATGATAAGGTAACTTGCAATATTAAAATTAAAAGGGGAATATGGAAACAAATAGATTTTTGGAAAATATGGGAAAAATTTATTGAGTATGACTTTAATGAGGGAAAGGAGTAGAAGCCAGCAACAGAAACTGACATTTTGGAATTGTGAAACAATTGAGTTGATTGGTCCTGGTGAAGGGGGCACAAACCAAGGGTAAGGGGAAGAGGGGGAAAACAGTATAATAATAATTATAAAGAAATAAAACATGTATAAGTAGATAAAAGGTGTGTGATAGAGTTGTATGTAGTATAAGTTGTAATGGAAATTTAAAAATAATGATAAGAAATATGCTTAAAGATGTTTTTGATTTTTTCTTTTACTGTTAGATTGTATATAATATGACATACTCTTTTGTCTAAGATATTGTAAAAAGAGGGAAGAATGTATGCTTATACATTTTGTTTGACAAATTTATAAATAAAAATTAAATAATAATAATAATAATAATAATAATAATAATAATAATTTGTACCACAAATACCACCTGCCTGTGACAAAGAACTGGTGGGATTGCAAGCCTGGAAAAGTTACAGAAAATAAACATGTCAAACTACTCTGGGACTTCCGAATTCAGACTGACAGAGTTTTGGAGCACAATACTCCCGACCACACAATTGTGTTAAAAAACAACGTATGGATTGTCGATGTTTCAATCCCAGGATTGAAGAGAAACAACTAGAAAAGCTGACATGATACGAGGATTTAAAGATCTAAGTGCAAAGACTCTGGCACAAGCCAGTAAAGGTGGTCCCAGTGGTGATTGGTACATTGGGAGCAGTGCCTAAAGACCTTGGTCTGCACTTAAACACAATCGGCGCTGACAAAATTACCAGCTGCCAGCTGCAAAAGGCCACCCTACCGGGATCTGCACACATTATTTTCCGATACATCACACAGTCCTAGACACTTGGGAAGTGTCTGACGTGTGATCCAATACAACAACCAGCATAGTGATCTTGTTTGCTGTGTACTCATCTTGTTGTATTTCAAATTATTATTATTATTATTATTATTATTATTATTATTATTATTCAGTTCCTGTGGGTTTTTTTCGGGCTATATGGTCATGTTCTAGAGGCATTTCTCCTGACGTTTCGCTTGCATCTATGGCAAGCATCCTCAGAGGTGAGGTCTGTTGGAACTGGGGAAAAGACCTCACCTCTGAGGATGCTTGCCATAGATGCAGGCGAAACGTCAGGAGAAATGCCTCTAGAACATGGCCATATAGCCCGAAAAAAACCACAAGAACTGAGTGATTCCAGCCATGAAAGCCTTCGACAATTATTATTATTATTATTATTATTATTCTACATATCCCTCTCAGTATCTATTTTACATGCCTCCACCACTGTGTGGAGAAGCAGGTAACAAAGAGCAACAGCAACAATAAGAATAATAATACTAATTCTGCTTAGTCCCACCCAGTTTCTGTTTTGCATAGCTCCGCCTCTTTATCCACCTAGTTCCACCTTCTGTTCTCTGTTTTGCATAGCCTCACTTCTTTATCAGCATACCTACCCTAGGCTCTCTGTTTTGAATAGCTCCTCCTCTTCATCTGCATAGCCTCAGTTTCTATTTTGCATAGTCCCACCTCTTCATTTACATAACCCTGCCCTAGGTTCTATGGTATGCATAGCCCCGGTTCTTCATTTGCACAGCGCTGTTCTAGGTTCTCTATTTTGCATAGCTCCACCTCTTCATCTACATAGCCATGCCCAGTTTCTTTTTTTTTGCATAACCACACCTCTTTATCTACATAGCCCTGCCCTAGGTTCTATGTTTTGCATAGCTCCACCTCTTTATCTGCATTGCACTGTCCTAGGGTCTCTATTTTGCATAGCCACAGCACTTTATCTGCATAGCCCTGCCCAGTTTCTATTTTGCATAGCTCCACTTCTTCATCTGCACAGCCCCACCCTAGGTTCTCATGTTGCATAGCCCCACCTCTTCATCTGCCTAACCCTGTCCTAGGCTCCCTGTTTTGCATAACCCCACCTCTTCATCTGCATAAGCCTGGCCTAGGCTCTGTTTTCCATAGCCCACCTATTTATCTGCATAGTCCCACCCTAAGCTCACTGTTTTGCATAGCTCCACCTCTTTAACTGCATAACTCTGTCTTAGGTTCTCTGTTTTGTATAGCCACACCTCTTCATCTGCATAGCCCCGCCTCTTCCCCTACAGAGCCACCTAGGCACACAACAAACTGTGGTCTACCTTGCAAGGTCATTGTATGAGATAATACTAACTACATGACCGAGCTCAGAGTTTTTACAAACAGGATACAAAAATGTAGTCGTCCATGAAGCGCTTCTTGAGGTTCTCGACGATGGCGTCTTCGTTGATCTTGGAGAGCAGGACCATGTCGTCCACCCCGCTCTGCTTGACATTGTGGCTCTGCCAATGGAAGCGCTCCTTGCTGCCCTGCAAGGCAAGAGGCCAAAAAAGAGGAACGATTGCATCCATTTGGGGTTGGAGGAATTATAGTATTAACATTGTACTGTCCCTTTAAGAACTGGTGCTTGCTTTTTTCCCTCTTCCCTCCTCATCCCTTCTTCATTTAGTGCTATGCCTTTAATGTAATTCTATTATTATTATTATTATTATTATTATTATTATTATTATTATTATTAGCATTAGCAAAAGATTCCCCCAGGCTCAGCCAGGCCTTCAAATGCTAATGAAGGTGGTCAGTTGAAACATTCACACCTAGCTCCAGCAGAGAAGAGCTCTTTGCCCCACCCGGGTCATTCCACAGATATATAAACCCATATTCCTAATTCCAACAGACCTCACTACCTCTGAGGATGCTTGCCATAGATGCAGGCAAAACGTCAGGAGAAAATGACTCTAGAACATGGCCATATAGCCCGAAAAAACCCACAAGAACCTAGAAACTGAGTATGCCTTGTCCCATAATAATAATAATAATAATAATAATAATAATAATAATAATAATTGCAAAGACTCTGGCACAAGCCAGTAAAGGTGGTCCCAGTGGTGATCAGCACACTGGGTGCAGTGCCTAAAGACCTTGGCCTGCAGTTAAACACAATCGGCGCTCACAAAATTAACATCTGACAGCTGCAAAAGGCCACTCTACTGGGATCTGCATGCATTATTCACCAATACATCACATAGTCCTAGACATTTGGGAAGTGTCCGACGTATGATCCCATACAACAGCCAGCACTTCCTTTTCTCCTTCTATCTCTACTTCTTCTATCTTCTCCTTCTTTTTCTCCTACTCCTATCTTCTCCTTCTTCCTTCCTCCTTCTCTTCCAAAAGGCCAGTTATCCCAGAACACTTGTCCATTGTTTGCTGTGTACTAATATTTTTTTATTCCTAATAATAATAATAATAATAATAATAATAATAATAATAATAGCAACAACAACTACAATAATAATAAATATTGTTGTTGGTGGGGACGAGAGACAGGGCCTTCTCAGTGATTGCCCCCCAGTTATGGAACTCCCTTCCTGGCAATATTAGATCAGCCCCCTCCCTGGCTGTGAGACCAAGCCTTTGGGGCAGTGCAGTGAGGCAAATGGTGCCCTGAGATGGCTTGTAAACAACTTTTAATGTGAATATAAGAGATTTTAATGTTTGTATACATTTATGGTTTTATGTCTCTGCATTGAATGTTTGCCGTATATATGTTGTGTATATATGAGGCCCCTGCGGGGTGAGAAGGGCCGAATATAAATGTTTTAAATAAAGAAATAATCCACAGTGAACTCCACCAATGATGCATCAAGAGCAAACTTGGCCAAGTTTCAGGAGGTTAACCTGGCATGATGTGAGTTGTAGTTCACGCAAAACCCTTATGCATTTTGTAAAAGAAAAACATGACTTTTTCAAATAACCTGGGCAATGCCAGGGATCCAAGCTAGTAAATAATAATAATAATAATAACAACAATAATCATCATCATCATCATCTAACATTAGACCCCTTATTGCACCATATCATCAACTCTGGACGAACTTGCTATATTAATATCGAAAGATCTCAAAAGTTGACCAAGAGAAGGATTCGATTCCCTTCTCGGCAACAAAAAAAAGTTTTGCAAAACTTTTTACGGCTCTGAGCCGTTTCCTTTGAGGTTTGCCTCTGCGGAAGGAAGAAAAGGGGAACTTGGGGAGTGGCAAAGCGATTAGAACCAATGTTCCCAAATAAAGAATAATATTATATTATATTATATTATATATATATTAACTAGCCGTCCCCTGCCATGCGTTGCTGTGGCCCAGTCTGGTGATCTGGAAAATAAAATAATTTGAAAGTGTTGGTTTCTAATCTATGTAATTTCTTTATGCTTGTGGGTAAACAGTATTTCTTGCTTTTTTTGTCAGTGTTGATGTAGAGATTGACTGGTTTGCCTACCCTGGAACATGCAACATATAATTGTCCTTCTTTAGGGGTCCCTTTCAAATCTAGGATACTATGTGTGTCTGTGAATCATATATCTATCTATCTATATCTATGGCTGGATGGCTCTTTGTCAGGAGGGCTTTGATTATGGTTTCTTGCCCTGGTAAAGGGAGTTGGACTCGATGGTCTTAAGTATTTTCTGTTGGTCATGGGGGTTCTGTGTGGGAAGTTTCCCCCAATTCTGTCATTGGTGTGGTTCAGAATGCTCTTTGATTGTAGGTAAACTATAAATCCCAGTAACTACAACTCCCAAATGTCAAGATCTATTTCCCCCAAACTCCATCTGTGTTCATATTTGGGCATATGGAATATTTGTGCCAAGTATGGTCCAGATCTATCATTGTTTGAGTCCACAGTGCTCTCTGGATGTAGGTGAACTACAACTCCCAAACTCAAGGTCAATGCCCACCAAACCCTTCCAGAATTTTCTGTTGGTTGTGGGAGTCCTATGTGTCAAGTTTGGTTCAATTCCAATCGTTGGTGGGGTTCAGAATGCTCTGATTGTAGGTGAACTGTAAATCCCCGCAACTACAACTCTTGGGGTACTAGGTGTATTCTGTCCAAATTTGGTGGCAATTCGTTCAGTGGTTTTTGAGTTATGTTAACCCCACAAACAAACATTACATTTTTATTTATATAGATTATATAATATTTAATATTTAATTTAATATATTAAATAATTAATACAATAATATAATATTGTTCTCTTTTTCAAGCTAAACATTCCCAGCTCTCATTGGGATTCATATTTTCCAGGTCTTAGCCTTCGAATCCTAGAATCTCAGAGTTGGAAAAGGCACCTAAGTCATCTAGTCCACCCTCTTTTTCCCATGTAGAAAGGCACCATGCAATCCCTCCCAACAGATGGCCACACCAATAAAACATGATACTATATTTAATGTTACAAATTCCTAGAATCCCAGAGTTGGGGTACCCAAGATGTCATCTAGTTGGAGATTCATTTCTGCGCCTTTTTGGCCACCTTTTGGCTTCAAATCCGAGAATCCCATAGTTGGAAAGGGCACCCAAGGAGTCATCTAGTCCACCCTCATTCTGTCCTGTCCTCTTTTTCAAGCTAAACATCTCCAGCGCTCATTGGGATGTATAGTTTCTAGGGCTTTCTTGTCACCTTTTGACTTCGAATCAGAGAATCTCATAGTTGGAAAGGGCACCCAAGGGGTCATCTAGTCCACCCTCATTCTGTCCTGTCCTCCTTTTCCAAGCTAAACATCTCCAGCGCTCATTAGGATGTGTAGTTTCTAGGCCTTTCTTGTCACCTTTCGGGTTTGAATTGAAGAATCCCATAGTTGGAAAGGGGTGGACAACATGGAAAGAAGCCATGTTGTCCACTCCCCTTCTGCCCTGTAATCCTTTTCAAGGTAAACATACCCAGCTCTCATTGGGATCCATAGTTTCTAACCCTTTTGGTCACCTTTTGGCTTCGAATCCAAGAATCCCATAGTTGGAAAAGGCACTCAAGAGGTCATGTAGTCCACCCTACTTCTGCCCTGTAATCTTTTTCAAGCTAAACATACCCAGCTCTCATTGGGATCCATAGTTTCTAGCCCTTTTGGTCACCTTTTGGCTTCGAATCTGAGAATATCATAGTTGGAAAGTGTACCCAAGGGGTCATCTAGTCCATCCTCATTCTGCCCTGTCTGCTTATCTCCAGTGCTTTTTGGGATGTATAGTTTCTAGGCCTTTCTGGTCACCTTTTGTCTTGAAATTCGAGAATCTCGTAGTTGGAAAGGGCACCCAAGGGGTCATCTAGTCCACCCTCATTCTGCCCTGTAATTTTTTTTTCAATCTAAACATCCCCAACTGTCATTGGGATTCATGGTTTTTAGGAATTTTTGGCCACTTTTCTGCTTTGAGTCTAAGAATCCCAGAGTTGGAAAGGGCAATCAAGAGGTTATCTAGTCCATCCTAATTCTCCCATATGGAAAGGCACCATCTAATCCCTCCCAGCAGATGGCCACGCCAAGAAAACACGATGCTGTATTGCATTTCGGTTACACTCACCATCGTCTTCCTCCAGTCTGTACTCCAGTTTAATCCAGATTCAAGTCAGACAAAGGCCCCTCTGGATGTCACTGAGCCCCGTGCAGAAACATGACGATGGAGGGAGCCTTCTTTCTTCTCTTTCCGGTGCTGCTTTGAGCCACCCAAGCGCATGAAACCCAAAGGCGGTGGCTGTGCGTGAGAGTGTGCCTTCCTCTCTCCTTTCCCCCACCCCCTCCCGCACTTCCTTCTTTTGGGGGTGCAAGTTGACGGGGAAACACACACACACACCAGAAAGGAGAAAGGACTTCTCCAAAGGTGAGATAAGGAGCTGAATGTGTTTCCGAACCAGCCATAAAATTATAAAACTGGAAAACCGGACCCATTTGGAAAAGTTTGAAAAAGTTTTTGGCTTGAAAGCAACCAGAAAGCCACATGAAGGCAATGTCGCAAGGCTGGGACCGCAAAAGGAAGGATGAAGACACTGAGTGAATGGTGGAAAATATATTTCAAGGGGTTACTTTGGGTTCCTTGAAGAAAGAAGCACCAATTCAATGACTACAGCTCTCCGATGCAACCACATAGACATAAATAGAAAGGATTAGCTACTGGCCTCTAAGTATCTATATATACAATACTCGGATGCAGCCGCAAGAGAGAAGTATCGAGATAGAAAGGATTAACTACAGGTCTCTACGTCTGTATGTATGCAATGCTTAAATGCAGCCACAAGAAGGCAGTATACAGATAGAAAGGATTAGCTATTGGACTCTAGGCATGTATGTATGCAATGCTTAGGTTCAGCCACAAGAGGGCAGTATATAGAAAAAAAGGATTAGCTACAGTCTATGTATGAATGTATGTAATATCCAGATGCAGCTACAAGGGGGCAGTTTTTAGATAGAAAGGATTAGCTACTGGCCTCTAGGTACATGTATGCAATGCACAGATGCAGCCACAAGAGGGCAGTATATAGATAGAAAGGATTAGCTACTGGCCTCTAGGTACATGTATGCAATGCACAGATGCAGCCACAAGGGGGCAGTATATATGGATAGAAATGATTAGCAAAAGGCCTCTAGGTATGAATATATGCACTGCTCCGATGCAGCCACATGAGAGAGAAGTATATAGATAGAAAGGATTAGCTACTGGCCTCTAGGTCTGTATGTATCCGATGCTCAGATACAGCTACAAGAGGGCAGTAGAAAGGATTAGATACTGGCCTCTAGGTGTATATGTGTGCAGTGCTCAAATGCCGCCACAAGAGGGCAGTAGAGAGAAAGGATTAGGTACTGGCCTCTAGGTATGTATGCATGTAGTGCTCAAATGCAGCCATTAGAGGGCAGTAGAGGGAAAGGATTAGGTACTGGCCTCTAGGTATGTATGCATGTAGTGCTCAAATGCAGCCACAAGAGGCCAGTAGAGAGAAAGGATTATGTACTGGCCTCTAGGTATGTATGCATGTAGTGCTCAAATGCAGCCACAAGAGGTCGGTAGAGAGAAAGGATTAGGTACTGGCCTCTAGGTATATATGTATGCAGTGCTAAGATGCAGCCACAAGAGGGCAGTAGAGCATTAGCAACCCTAGATGACAATATGAGGGTACGAATTGAGTTGTTCGCAGAATTCTATCTATAGAAAATGCATGAGTTAGTCAAGAGATCAAAGTGGGATGCAATAATAATAATAGTAGTAGTAGTAGGTAGGTAGTCCTTTATTATAAAAACCATGCGGTAATTTCTCGCAGTCTCGCAATCTCGCTCTTTCTCAATCTCGCAGTCTCACAATCTCGCAGTCTCGCTCTTTCAATTTTCTTTGCAATAGGGTTGTTAAAAACCTTTTTTCTATAACAATAATAATATTAATACAATATATCTGTATATATATTTATATATGAAATTGTGGGGGGGCAAAAAAAATGTATTCGTAATAACAAAGCACCATCTTTACTTAGGAAGGCACCGAAGAAAAACTGACATCCATAAACAGTTGGAAGGGATCTTGAGGGTCAGTTCATCCCCATTTTGGTTGGATGACACAATCCAATCCCTCCCGACAGATGGCCATCCATTCTTTACTTCTTTACCAGAGATGAAAGGAGATGCCACTTAATTCCCATACTCCACTATAGTTGAAAGGGACACCCAAAGAACATCCAGTCAACCCCATTTTGTCATGAAGGTACAATCTGATCCCTCCTGACAGATGGCCACCCTTCTTTTGTTGATGCCAAATACAGTCAAGAAGTTCTTCCTAATTTCTGCTCATTGGTTGACATCCTACCCTCCGAAGCAGCAGAATACACACTCAGATATTTAAAGGTCCCCTCCAAAAAGTATGAGGTGGACCCTGATTCCCGATGCAAAGGAAGGGGGAGATACTTCGGTGCCCAAGGGTTTGCTACTGAAATAAATATTCAAAGAGTTTCAAGTAAATACACTCTTGGCCGCCTTTAGAGTTCGGGGTCCGGGGAGGTCCCAATGCCCTCCAAAACCTTCCAGTTTTCCCAAGGCGCTCCCGCTTCCGGGCTTTCGTTTTACCGGCCCTGGCAGGTTTTGCAGCACATCTGTCGGAAGTAAGGCCGGCTACAGAACTTAAACTTTAGCACCAAAGGGCAGTAGGCCACCTTGTTCACATCTTTGCATTCTGGAGAGAGAGAGGGAGAGAGAGAGAGTGAGAGAGAGAGAGAGAGAGAAAAGAGAGTGGAAAAAGACGGGAAGGAGAAGAGAGATGGGAAGAAGGGACGGAAAAAGGAAAAGAAGAGGAAGGGAGGAAGGAGCGGAAAAGGAAGGGAGGGATAGAGGGAGGGAAAGAGGAAGAAGGGAGAGAGGGAGGAAAGGAAGAAAGAAAGAAAGAAAAAGAAAGAAAGGAGGGAGAGGAGAAAGGAAACCAAAAGAACCAAGAAATAAAAAACAAGGAGGAATAAAGGAAATAGGAAAGAAAGAAGGGAGGAAGAAGGAATAAAGGAACAAGAAAGAAAAGAGAAGAAACAAGAGGGGAAAGAAGGAAGGTGAAAGAAAGAAGGAAGGGGAAAAGAAATGAAAAAGGAAGGGAAGATAGGGAGGAGGGAAGGAGGAAGGGAAGAAAGAAAGAAGGGAGGAAGGGGAGAAGGGAGGAAGAAAGAATGCAGGAACAGGAAACAAGGGGGAATAAAGAAGTATGAAAGAAAGAAGGGATGAAGAAGGCATCAAGGAACAAGAAACAAAGGAGAATAAACAAGAGAGGAGAGAAAGAAAGGGAAAGGGGGAAGGAAGGGGAAAAAGAAGAAATGAAAAAAGAAGGGAAGGTAGGGAAGGAGAGAAAGAAAGAGGGAGGAGAAGGAAGGAAGGAAGGAAAAGGGGGGAAAGGAATTTGTGTGGAATAAAGCATTATAAATAAAACAAATAAAAGAAGGAAGCAACGAACAAAGGAACAAACAAAGGGAGAATAAACAAAGATCTAGATAAAGAAGGTAAGGGGAAGCAAGGAAAAAGAAAGAACTGGAAAACAAAGAATGGAATGTCGGGAGGATGTGAAGAGGTAAGGGTAAAGAGGAAGGGAAGAAGGAAGAAGGAAAGGAAGAAAGTGAAGAAAAGAAAAGAAAGAGAAGGAAGGAAGGGTAGAAAAAAGGGGAGAAGGGAGGAAGAAGGAATCAAGGAACAAGAAAAAAGGAAAAAGGAGGAAGAAAGGAAAAGGAAGAAGGGGAAAGGAGGAAAGAGTGGAAGAGGAAGCCAGAGATAAAGGAAAGAAAAAAAGGGGAGGGAGTGGAGAAGGGAGGAAGAAAGAACAGAGGAGCAAGAATCAAATGGGAATAAAGAAGAAAGGAAAGAAAGAAGGGAAGAAGAAGGAATCAAGGAACAAGAAACAATTGGGAATAAAGAAGGGAGGAAAGAAAGAAGGGGATAGGCGGAAGAAAGGGGGGAAAGAAGAAATGAAAAAAAGATGAGAAGGTAGAGAGGAGGGAAGGGAAGGGAAGGGAAGGGAAGGAAGGGAAGGGAAGGGAAGGGAAGGGAAGGGAAGGGAAGGGAGAGGGGAAGGGAAGGGAAAGGGAAGGAAGGAAGGAGAAGGAGGAAGGAAGAGAAAGGAAGGAGGGAAGGAAGGAAGGAAGGGAAGGAAGAGGAAAAAGGAAAGGAAGGAAAAGGAAGAAAAGGAAGGAATAAAGAAGTAATAATCCGGATACATCAAAGAAGTGGAAAGGTATTGAAGGTCAGCGCCAGACACAGAGGTCATATGACGTGAGTTACTGATATGAGTAGAGGGAAGAAAGAAACAAGAAAAGAAGAAAGTGAGACAATTAAGGACGGAAAAAAGAAAGGGAGGAAGGACAGAGGAATGGAAGAAGGGAAGAAAAAAAGAGAAGGAAGGAAAGAACAAAAGGGAAGGAAGGAAGGAAATCCA